ATTGAATAACAGTAATTTGGTTACAATAATTAATTATGCTCATTAATATTTCAGTTCAATATTTGAAAATTTAAAAAAGAACTTATAATTTTACCTTCCATTATTTAATCAAAAGTATATAAACAAATTATTTAAATTAAAGCAACATAAATATAAAGTAAAACAATTTTCTTGAAAATTATATTCAATCAAATTAAAAAAACAGAAAATTATACAATCCATGCATCACATCGCGGCGGTTTAAGGACCAGTTCTAATAGAAATTAGAATCTACATACTAGATGACATATAAGGCATTCTGGTATGAGCACTGAGCAGAATCCTTGTGATAATTCTAAACTGGACTCTTTAAATTTTGGCATACGTAGAGGTCTTTGACAGTTATCAGGGTAGTTAGAGAAGTTAACGTTTTTGGAAATGTATGTAACAGTAAACCTTTGTTGAACAAATTAAAATTAGGTTGACAAATCAAATAAAAGACTTTGACTTAGACGGCAATGTACCCCTTACTGTACTATTTCCTTCAGCGACAATCCAGATTGACTTTCATACATTTCATTTTTAATAAAAAAAAATGACTTATAACATATAATAATAAAATTAGAAGAGTCCAAAATACTTATTCATGGTCCTCTTCAGCTTGCAAGAACTAGGGTTATTATTTGGTCTGATCTGTTGAAACCCAACTGATTTAATAATAATTGAACCAAATTGTTTACAAAATGAAATCAAATTGATAGATTCAATTTTAATTTCGCTTAATTTATTTTTAGATTAAAAGTTAGTTTAATTTTTAGGGTTTTTAAAGTTTTGTTTTATATAATAAAAATCATATGGAAAAAAAAACAAATGATTTTTTTTAATTAAAATTGAACCTAACATTTTAAAAAACAAATTAATCTCATCATATCAAACTAATCAATTTGGTTCACAACTATATCCGCATTTGGGTATTGAAAAAATCAATCTCTATCAAACCCTAATATCTATATATATATAAAAGTAGAGCAGTTTGCATTATATGGAAGTCAAGTGTAAACTTCTAAAATTACCAAATATAAGGAGGACAATAATTATTTAGCATGATTATAAGAAGATAAGGTTTAACGATAACAATTGTAAGAAGATAAATTATTTTATATTTTTAGATAATGTCTTTATCATGATAATATCTATTAGTTACATCTCATCAAAATAATACATTAAATTAAATTAAAATATAAATAATACAAGCCATAAAATGAGATATAATTTATATCAAGAGCTAGATTGCACGGACACAGGACACGAGATATGGAACATACAAGATATATGATAATAAATAAACAATCATTTATAATAAACAAAAAAATATAAATTAAAAAATACTTTATTTTTTATTTTAATATAATTAGTTTTAAAAAGTAGGACATCCACATGGTTAGGACACACTACACTAAATAAGTAATACAATAATATTTCAAATAAACAAACAATCATTTCTAATAAATATAAAATAAAAAAACACTAAATTTCTTATTTCAATGACGCAAAAGCAAATTAAAAAAAAAAAACTTACATTTTTATTGGTAATAAAAAAATCTTAGTTGATTAGCTTAGTGGTAATAAAAAAATCTTAGTTGATTAGCTTAGTGCATGGAGTAGTCTCATATACCAGGAGTTAAGTTACACAAATACTGGATACGAGATATAAGAACGGACGAGATGCGATAATTTTTTAACAAAAATAGGACATTCACACGATTAGGACACAGTACACTAAATAAATAATACATTAATATTTCAAATAAATAAACAATCATTTATAATAAATTATAAGCACAAAATAAAAAAAATAATTTCTTATTCAATGACACAAAAACAAATTTAAAAAAAAAAAACTTCATTTTTATTGGTAATAAAAAAACCTTGGTTGATTAGCTTGGTGTAATAAGTAGTCTCATATAGCAGCTATCTCATAGAGCAGCTATGTTCCAGGAAACTAGATATAACAATTTTTAAAAAGGCAGGACATCCACACGCTTTGGACATAGTGCACTAAAAAAGTAACACACAAATAAATAAACAATCATTTATAATAAATCATAAACATAAAATAAAAAGAATACTTAATTTCTTGTTTCAACGACACAAAAGCAAATAATAAAAAAAACACTTTATTTCTATTGGTAATAAAAAAAAAATCTTAGTTGATTAGTTTGGTGTAAGAAAAAGTCTCATATATCAGGAGTTAGATTGCATGGACACGGGACACGAAATATGAGAAGATGCAGATACGATAATTTTTAAAAAAGGTATAACATCCACACGCTTAGACATAGTAAACTAAATATGTAATACATTAATATTTCAAATAAATAAACAATCATTTATAATAAATCATAAACATAAAAAAAAAAAATACTTAATATCTTATTTCAATGACACAAAAGCAAATTAAAAATAAAAATACTTAATATCTTATTTCAATGACACAAAAGCAAATTAAAAAAAAACTTTATTTCTTTTTGATAATAAAAAAAAACCTTGGTTGATTAACTTGGTGTAAGGAGTACTCTCATATACCAGGAGCTAGGTTGCACAACAGGGGACACGAGATACGAGAACGTACGGATACAACAATTTTTAAAAAGTAGGACATCTATATAGTTGGAATACACTACACTAGATAAGTAATATATTAATATTTCAAATAAATAAACAATCATTTATAATGACTCATAAACATAAAATAAAAAAAATACTTAATTTCTTATTTCAATAGTTAAATTCTCACAATTATTATTACTATTGAAAAATATATTAATAGTGTGTATGCATTTTTTTACATAGGTCATACCATACATGACTTTTGCTATTACATACCTTATGAAAAACTCCATATTATACTTAATAAGACATATCTTAGCTTCACAACTTTTCAGCATATCTCAATAAGATATAATTTATTATTTTATTATATAATTTTATTTTTGAATAATATTATAAAATACTATTTCATCTTTTCATATTACGCTACGCATTATGAGAATTATAAGCGAAAAATACTATTTTGCTATTACATACCTTATGAAAAGCTTCATATTATACTTAATAAGACATATCTTAGCATCACAGCTTTTCAGTATATCTCAATAAGATATAATTTATTATTTTGTTATATAATTTTATTTTTGAATGATATTATAAAATACTATTTCATTTTTTCATATTACGCTACACATCATGAGAATTATAAGCGAAAAAAAATAATTATATTTTCAGATAATATCATATGGGAGGAAAAAAATAAATTAATATTAATAAGCAAAAACTATTTTATTTAGAAATAAGAAACGAATATAAGGGAAAAGAATTTCAATAATTTTCTCTTTAAATTAGAAGGAAAATAAAAATCTATAAAGATAAATTTGTAGAGAAAAATTAATTTTATTTTTCTTTTATATCCAAAAAACTAAGTAACAAAAGTTTTTCGGAAAAAAATTTAATTCCTTTTTATTTTTTGATTATTCATTAATAAAAAAAGATAAAAAAAATATATTAAAAAAATAATTCATCACATGATACGGGAATATACACGTGCTATAATTTTTAAAAAAGTAAAAGATCTACACGCTTAGGACACACTACACTAAATAACTATAATACATTAATATTTCAAATAAATAAATAATTATTTATAATAAATTAATAAATCAATAAACATAAAATAAAAAAATACTTAATTCTTTATTTCAATAAATTAGTTTAAATTTTTAAAATATTAATCACTATTTGAAAGTAACATTAATTTATTTCAATATAATTAGTTAAATTTTTAAAATTATTATCACTATTGAAAGTACATTAATAGTGTGTGTGCATTTTTTTTATATAGATTATACTACGAGTGTCAAAGTGGGTCACGACACGCGCACATGATTCACCTAACATGCGAAATAAATGTTGTTAGAGTTGAGACTAAACGAGTTTTTGTCATGAACGAGTCAGCCATTTATGACACGCGGGTTAGGCGAGTAGCTTGTTTATTTAAGAGTAAAAAAGTAATTTTAATGTTAGATATAAATACTCCAATTAAAATCTATTTAAATTTTATTGTTGTATTACTTTTTTATTTTAATTATAAATCTGATTTATGCATTTTACGTGTAAAATTTTATTTTTAAATATGATTGGAATAAAATAAGTTAAAAGTTATAAATACAATAAACATGTTATGTGAGTCATATATAGGTCAATACATCCACTTAACATATTTATTATATTAAGCGAGTTACACAAGTTGTATATGAGTCAATACGACCCACTTAACATGTTTATGATATTAAACTGATTAAACGTGTCATGTTCGTGTCGACCGTCTAAGTTTTGTGTTGTGTTTGTGTCGAAGTTATAAAAAATTATTTCATCCTTAAATATTGCTTCCCAGTTCTTGCATCGCGCAGATTCTAATATTAGTAAATTGAAAAAACAAGTATATAGCAAAATATATGTTGCTACTTATTAATTTATATTACAATATTATATTTAGAGCATTCTAATTTACAATATACTAAATTGATATATTCAAACATATAATGTAACAGAAAAAAAATTAGTTCACAATAATTAACTACATATCTTCAAGAAAAACAAAGATGAATTTACAATGAAAATTTTTGAGAAAGAAGATCCTAATAAAATTAAGGAAAAGCATTAATAAAGATTTGGCTTACACTTCTCATTTTTAAAATGTGTAATTTTTTTTGACAAAAAAGGTTTTTGTTTCTTTAATTAACAATTAAAGTTCTAATGTCTTAACGTCATTAGTTCCTACTAATGTGAGATATGTTAAACTTCAATTGGCACATTCCCCCATTATCCAATAATTTACTGTCACATAAACATCCATTAAAAGGTGTTAAGCGATATTAGATCTTTAATTATTTTTAGTTTTAATCATTTGGTATTTAGTTTTTGAAGCTCATAGGCCCAGTTAATTCAAATTCACACTAGACAAGTTCACGCAAGGGGCAAAATGTTCCTTCTCGGGTTTATAAAAAGACTTCATACACATAGTTCAAACTCGAAATCTCTAATTAAGGGATTGTTTGTCATCCCATCTCATCGCTTGAAGCTTCAAAGCTTAATTATTCATAAAAAAAAAAAACAAATTCCATCAACCAAAAAGCAATTGACAAATCCTGAAATGAAAAGTGTAAAACTACATGTTATTTTCTTAAAGAATTCCAGAAGTAGCACAGAGCATCATGTTCTTGAATTCTTCAAAATCAAGAACTCCATCAAAGTTAGTATCATAAACACAAATCATACTCCTACAATCTTTACCAGTCATTTCATCCCACAATCCCAATCTTAAAAGCACACTTTGAAGCTCCTCACTTGAAATGAAGCCATCCCCATTGATATCAAACACCTTAAACGCCTTAGCAAGATCTTTCATCTCCTCCTCTTCTTCCACTATTTCATCGCCATTGCCACTGTCGTTTTGTTTAGTTATGGAGTCGTAAAAGGACAAAAACTCCTTGAAGTTAAGACTAGACTTCCCTACAGAAGATTCAAGCTCCTCCAGACTGAAATAGACTCCAATTCTTTCAAGAAGCCAATTTAGATCTTCTAAATTTAAGACGCCATCGCCATTTCTGTCGAGGTTTTGGAAAATCCTGTGCAAGTCTTTGGCGCTTAAAGGACACATATATGCGGAGAGATATGGAATGATTACCAATTGCGATTACTGATTTAATTTATTGACTAATGAGATATTCTATATATAAAGAGATTGATGTGTAAGGAAATGGGTAACGTACAGAGATTTCCGAGACGAAATGAATTTTCTTTTTTTGTGGTAAAGCCGTAAAGATATGCTTGAAAGGAAGTTTACAGGAAATTTCACGCGGGAATTGCAATTGCAAAGGAATAAAGTTTTATTTGCCCTGAAATTGAGTTCGGATTAGACTTATCAAGATCACGTTAATTTTTCAAAAAGAAAAAATTACAGCATGGTATAATTTGCAAAATATAATTAGTTTATCCTGTGTTTTTTAAAAATATATCAATTTGTTATTATATTTTGCTTTAGTTATACTACTAAGTACTTTTGTTCGATTTTTATATTTTTTTCGTTTGGTCAATAAGAGAACAAATAAGTCAAATGAGAGATATTAAAATTTTCTATTAGAAAAATTACAGTACGGTTTTGTGATTTGAAAATACAACTAATTTGTTCCAATATTTTTTAAAATATACCAAATCTGAGAAAAAGATAAAATGATTGTTTTCATCATTTCATACGGCACTTAACGGAAAAGATACAAAAATTGGACAAGATGATCTTATAATCTGACTGAAATAAACTAAAATGATATTTTAATTTATTTCGTAAAATTGAAGAACTGGCTAATTGTATCTCTAAATTACATAGACCATACTGTATTTTATTTATTATGGTAAAAAAATACCCTATTTTAACAAAAAAAATTATTAATTTGGTCCATAAATGGTCACATAGATTCAATCTAAACAAGTCAAAGTAAATACATAATTTGTTCGTAAATTAACTTTTTCTATAATTATTATTCTAATATTACGCCAAATGAGCAAAAAGGTCCAATTTCTCTTTAGAAAAAATAAAATAATAATTTTAATAATTGATAAAATGTTATCACTATCATTAAATGTAACATATTTTTCATTAAAAAAATAAAATAATAACATTGAACATCATTATTTGATTCTTTTTAGCTACAAGTTCTTTTTTTCTTTTTAATAATTTGATATAAAATTATGGTAATAATTTTCTTTTAGTACATTGCATTTAAGTTAAAGATGCAAATTCAACTTTTTTTTCTTCCAATTGCAAAACAAGGAAGGGAAGTGATAGGACTCTTCAAATTTTCTTGGTTCTCGTATTTAATTAATTTGCACAAATACCAAAAAAGGAAATTTAACTTCCATGAGGTTTTGATTTCCTATCCACACGCCTAGTTCCATAAATAGAAAGCATGCGGAGACTTGTCTTCATGTCATCGAGGAAGTTATTAAAGAAAGCTCCTGGAAAATTCTCGGGTATATATCCGGTAACCGGTTTGAACTTAATCTAGAATGGTCCGGTTTCGATTGTCTTCATAGTTATATAAATTTGTTCTTAGTTTGATTTGGTTAGTTTTAAAGTAAATTTTCTTTCTTCTAAAAAGAATTTCGAATTGAATGTAATAGAATAATATTATAAGCCACACGTTAAAAAATAAACTTATAAGTAGAGAGTTAAAAATTAAAACCAGTTCCAAATCGAATTCAATCCGATTTTATCGAGCTAGTTCCAGTCCTAAAATAGTCGGAAATTATCCAGTGGCCAAGTCAATATCTATATGCATAATATATATAAAAAATAGAAAGGGAGAATATTGGATAAATGAAAATATCTTCATCATTTTTTATTATTCCAATTAATGACAAATATTAAAAAAAGTAACCATTAAATTAATTAAAAATATTAACAGGATTAGAAATTTCAATATTTTTACTTAAATAGAAATTTTATAACTGTAATTGCAAAGAATTTTCAATTCAATTGAATCGGTTAAAAGGATAAACTAGCATAATTTTTTTTTTCTATTATTTAACTAACAATTTATTGGATATATATGATTTTTGATACATAAATTAGGTCGATGTTGATGTTGCATGTAGACATGGCAAAGAAAAAGTAAACTATTTATCTAGACCGGTCCATACTCTCTCTTTTAAAAAAGAGAGATTTAATACGTCTTTTTATTCAATTTGAATATTAAAATTTAATCATTATTATTTTTTTTTTAAAAGAAGAGATCGTTGTCTCTGCTACACTAAATAATGATATATTGAGCACTTTTACTATTAAATAATTGAATGAATTATATGTGTACTGAATTATAATTGAATAATTTAATTATTTTCATTCTTTTTATCATTTCTTTTCACGTTCTATTTTTTTATTTTTTTTATTTTTGGTTAATTTTTATGTTCTTTAGTTTTCGTTTCTCTTTTTTTTTTTTTTTTCTTTTATGTCCTTTTATAAAGGTGAGATTCAGTACTTATTCAATTTCGACATGATAGTGTAATCATTATTGATTGTTATTTCTATTATATTGCTCAATAATATATATATTACGCACTTTTATTATTAAATAATTCAGTGAAAGAATTATAAATGAATGAATTTAATTTTTATATGTTTTTTTTTACTTTTTTATTCTTTTCATATTACATATATTCCTCTTTTTCTTTCTAAATAAAATTGTGTAGGTTATTATTTGATGTATAATCTTAGATCGTGTTATATACAGAGATGGCAATGAATAACCTCTTTGTTAAGAAATTGTGACATTCATGCTTCTTTGTGTTCAATTTAGGCATCAAAATTTAATCATTCCTTAACTCCAATTGATAATACCACCTATTATGCCTGAATTCACGAGTGGAATGAAAAACTTTCTAGAAGGTTTTCATCTTAAAATTTACTTTAAACAAGTACGTTTAATATGGAATTTTTCTAACTTTTTAGGTCATTCCACTAAAAGACTTTTTTAATGATTAGTTTCCTCCGCTTTAATGCATAATGCGATTCATTCTTGTGCAATCACATTCCATTATAGCTAGTCTATCATCTTAGAAATTCGTTAAGAGCTTTGTTCTGCCTACCCTTTTCAGATCGTTTGATTGTCACATGCCCACCAACTTCCACCTAGTTAGTCCTCGAACCACACATCTATTTGAATGGTCTGTCTCGATACCACTTGTCAATGCCCTATCCTAAGCTTTCCTTTACACGAGCATGCTTAACTTTGAAGTTTTTCTAATTTTTCGAGTCATTCCACTAAAAAACGCTTTTCTCTGCTTTAATGCATGATTCTAGTCATTTATGTGTCCCGTATTCCACTATTCTAGATAGCCTGTTATCATAAAAACTTGTCGGGAACTTTGTTCTACCCATCTCTTTAGATGGCTTTGTCAAGTTGGGTCGTGACAATTATGTGGAATAATTATACATTGACACTTTAATTATTGATGAATAATTGAGTGCAATATATACTTGTAATAATTATAATTGAATAATGCAGTTATCTTTATTTTTTTATCATTTCTTTTCATGTATGTTTCTCTGATACATGATTTTTATGGTTATTTTTCAGGTTTTTCAACTTTTTTATTCTTTTTTTTTTAATATAGATATTATTTTAAATTTATATTTTATATTATAGATATTATGGTTCTCTCTTTCTCCAAAATCTAAAATTCTAAAAAGTTCTCTTTTGTTTTTTCACGGGTGACCATCAGTGAGCTCTCACCGGTAGTCACCCATTTCTCTTTTTTTTATTTTTTATTTTTTACAAATAATCATCAAATCTGTATACAGATTTGAGTTATTGTCGCCTCATATTTTGAGATTTATTATTGTTTATATCTTGGAATTTTGTTCTCAGATCTACTTCTGAGTTATTGTTATCACCATTATGGTGATTTTGTCTAACATCTTTTGTTATTTGAATAGTTATGTAGAAAAAAATGCAGATCTCTTTTTCAATAGAATGAAGAAAATGTAATCATATGGGACTTGTAGAAAAACCATGAAGTCGAAGAGTGGTCATAAATAGCCAACAAATGAAGTGAGCGATTGTCTATAGCATAAAGATTATGCTCTGTCAACTCAATCAGATACTTTAAATTAAGATTGTGTTTTTTTATTCTTTGTATAAGTGGTTTATTATTAGACTTTCTATATAAAAATATAGAAATATTTGTATCTATATCCCGTGTATGTATACAGTTTCCTCTTAGTGAAATTTCTAATTTGATTTCTTCTATAAAAAAATTATGTATATATTAAATTATAATTGAATATTTTTAATTTTTATGTTATATAATAGCTATTAGTTTAGATGTATTTTCTCTTTCTGTTATTTTTTTAACTAAAATTTTATAGAATATAATTTTTATTTTAATAATCTCTTTGTGAAAAAAAAAACTCAATTGATACTTCTTTTTCTTCTATTTGGATATTGAAATTTAATCATAATTGATTGTAATTTCTATTATACTGAAGAATGATACATTGGTAATTTTATTATTAAATAATCAAATGAATTATAAATGGACTGAATTATAATTGAATGATTTTAATTATCTCCATTTTTCTATAGTTCCGTTTATTCATGTTTTATTTCTCTTATTTATTTTATTTGTGGATAATTTTTACGTTTTTACTTTTTTTTTTCCCTTTTCTATTGTTATGTGACTGTCATTTATTTATCAAATTTTTATTATGAATTTCGAATTGTTTTATTTTTCAAAATTTTCAACAGAACATGTGAATTTATTTATTTATGGTTATTAAAAATGTGTTTTCTTTATCACATTATGTTTCCCCAGATTTGATAATTAAGAGACAGAGAAAGTAACAAGTGAATTTCTTTCTCTTGTTGATTATAAATAATTAATTCATTTTAAAACTAATATTTTGTAAAATAGGAAGTGAATTAAGAATTTTCTAAAGCTCAAAAAAAAAAAAAAAAAAAAAAACTCTTGTTGATTATCAATACATTAATTCATTTTAAAAACTAATATTTTGTAAAATAGGAAGTGAATTAAGAATTGTTCTAAAGCTCAAAAAAAAAAAAAAAAAAAAAAAAAAAAAAAAAAGGCGAAAGAACACAATTTTGATGGAAAAGATTTTATAAATTAACTAGAGAGAGATCAGAGGTGGAGCTTGTAATCTATAAACACAGTCTGTTGAAATGGCTTCTCTATATATGATATGTAGGAATTTTATAAAGGAGGAATATTTATTTATTTTTAAGAATAAGATATAACTATAAAATTCAAATCTTTTAATATTAAAACAATGAAGAAATCAAGTTTTCAACTGAACTAAATATTGAAATTTTTATATGATTTGAAATTAATAATTAATTCTTAGTCAACAAAATTGAGAGGAAGACATTTGTGAATCTTGAGGTTTAAATGAAGTGATACGTCCACGTTTGATTGAAAACAGATATGCCTAAATCTAATAGCAATACCTAAATCTTTAACAAAAATGTTTTTTTTTTTTAAAAAAAATATTAGGAAAGGATAAATTCTTAGATAGACTAGTCTACCACGTCACTTACAAACTCACCCAATAAAATACAGTTATACCACGTCACCTATAGACTCACCCAATAAAATACAGCCATATCAGCATTTTACTTTTTCAAAAACTTATTCCTTATTAATTCTTTTACATTTTCCGTTTGGTTAGAGATAAAAAATATAGTTGTGTTGGTCTAGGAGTTACTGATGTGTACAGAAAAAAAGAAAGATGTAACTGTATTTTATTAGGTTAGTCCGATGTAGTAGACTGAGTCTACTTAATAATTTCTCCCAACCATCACCCTCTCCGTGAAAAATCCATCTACAAGCACTCTCTATTTTCTCATCATTATTCTTCTCTCAAATCTTCATTAATTTAATCACAAAACACTAATCAAATCGAATCATATTTCTTCATACTATCAACTATATATCAAACCAATATTTCATATATAAAAGGCAAGAGAACTTTAAAAAGTGTTGTTGTTAGTATAAAAAAATATTTAATATTACAAAATTCTTAATTTGAGGAGCACAATAGGTATCTTAAAGTTGAAAGTCATAAAGTTGAAGTTAAAGTTATAAAATTCACTGTTAACATCTATCAATTATCACAAACAGTTAAATCAAGTAGTTAAGTTATTTCATTATAATTATAATTTTTAAGCTGAATACAAAATTTAAAAAATTGACAAACCGAAATGGTTGCATTTCTTTTTTTTTTTTAAATTGATCTTTTCATAAAAAAAAATTCGATTAATTCGATATAAATCGTAATTCTATGACTGTATAAGGCTACATGTCCACCTTTTGTGGTAAATTCACTAATGTCATAAAAACATAAATTCGTGATTTAATGTTTGGTCCACAACCTATCACGTTCTTCCTACACCTCAACAAAAAAAAAAAAGGAATCAAATAGAAAAGAAAATACAAAGTTCCTCTTTTTATTTTTTATTTTTATAGAATCAGGACATGCTTTTTTCCCGGCGATAAAAATAGCTACGATTTATCAATAAATCTAAGTTTGAATCCTTTTTTCCAATGAAAAAGTCTTAGGCAGATTCAGTCTACCACGTTAACTATAGACTCACTAAATAAAATATAGCTCCATTAGCATTTTGCTTTTTTTTTTTTTTTTTTTTTTTTTTTTTTTTTTTTTTTTTTTTTTTTTTTTTTTTTTTTTTTTTTTTTTTTTTTTTTTTTTTTTTGCTTCTATACACATCAGTAACTCCATTTATTATTTGTAACTAAACGGGAAATGTGAAAGAATTAATAAGGAATAAGTTTTGGAGGGAAACGCGAAAGAATTAATAAGGAATAAGTTTTGGAAAAAATAAAATACTGATTTGGCTATATTTTATTAGGTGAGTATATAAGCTGACGTGTTAGACTGAGTCTACTTAAGAATTTCTTGATGAAATAGTGGAGAAAATCAAATCTTTTATTTGTTAACCGTTGTAGGGAGAGATTTGTGGGGGATTTTTAGGTTATTTTTCTACATTTATTAAGAATTTTATTCAAAGATAATTAGATATATCTTAATAATATTAATATTTAAATACCAATATTATTGGCAGTTAACACAACTTTTAAATCAATAATTTTCATATTTTTCAACCTTTAAATAAGTACTTAATTGATATAATTCAAGTTATAAAAAGTATTTAATATGTTTAATTTTAGAAGTAGAAGTGTTTGATAGATTAAGATAAAAATTGAGTCCCATAAGATTAAAATAACACAAGTAACAAAATTTAGGTATGAATTTATCTATTCAACACCAAAACAATAATATTTTTACTTGCTGCATCATTCTTTTGTCTGCAGGAGAGATTATCACCAAACACTGTACAACCTTAAGTCATCTCAAGTTTAAGCATATGCATGTACAAGGAACAAAACACATGCCATTTTATTCAAATGCAGGAAAATTTTTTGTGCAAAATAAAATTCAGTATTATTCTTATTCCTTCCACAGAAGAAGGGACCAGAAAAACAAAGAAAGAATGAGTGAAACCCCTAAAACAAATAAAGGAAATGGAAGAACTACTGAGATTTTTTGTTTTTCTAACTTGAAGCGTAAATTACAATTTTATTCATTGAACTTTGTCAAGAAAATCAACTCTACAAAGGAGTTGTCTCTGTGTAAGTTCACCTTCAAGCCTTCAAGTCAAATTTGCCGGGCTCACTATAATGCTTCTCGAGCTGCTCGATTTTTTTGATTCTGAAACCCCTGATCCTTATCTCTTCGGGTACTGAGGTATCTTTGTAGTCAACACTTTCGATGATCCAACCCTTGTTCTGCACAGAACCTCCTACTTTTACCTGTTAAAAGGTTCATCATCGGAAGAATGTAAGTTATGGACTTGCATAAATAGTTTTATAGACATCAAAATATTGAATTCTGCATAGAGGCCAAGGTATCAGAGAAATGGTTAATTTTGGAATTGAAGTGCCAATTGGAGTCAATAAAACGAACAGATTTATTTTCAGATAGTGTGTTTTGGATCCAATGAAATGTCAAATTCAAAAAATAAATTTACATCACGCTGTTACACCCTTGTGTTAACAAGGAAGTATACTAGTGTCAAGTTATGTGGAAAAGTAGCAGAATTTCAAACTTCTTGGCGAAGAACAAAAACATAATTTTATTTTATTTCGTTTTTTTTTTCTTTGTGAGAATGAAAAACAGAAAAAAGAAGATAATTAAAAAAAAAAAAAAAAAAAAAATACTTCTTATCAACCTTGGCTCCGTTGCGCTACCGAAAGAATCATTGATGAGAAAGGGGAAAATTGAGAAGCCGTGGAGGCAGATTAAATAATTGAAAAAAGAAAGAAGCAAGAAGGAATGGCCAAAATATTTCACTGACTAAAACGCATCTTAGTGTCGCGGCAAAAGGGTTGCAGACACCACCGAGCCCAGAAAGCATTGTGTTGCCCGCAACTGGAAGACGCAAATTGTAAAATGGTCAGTGTGGGCACCACGCGAACTTACTCAACTACAATCCCGATGGATCCAACCCCAATAACCGATGCTCCAGGCGAAAAAGGCACTCGAACAAAAACCTCCTACTTTTTACCTGAGGCGTCATAAAAAGAGGAACCAAATCCAGACTCAAATACAACAGGAGAAGAAGAGCCCCAAAGAGGGAGAGAAGAGGAAACCCTGAAGACAGGGGAAATGGATCGAAAGGAGCCATCAAGACCTCGGGACCCTTGGCATAAATAGTTTTATAGAGCCACTTCCAACGAAGCCACTCTCAAATCTACTCAGCTCTCGACCAACGAGCCAAGTATCAGAAACCATGGTTAATTTGGAAATTGACGCAGTCCAACTCCGGACACGTCAATAAAAACGAACAGATTTATTTTTCAGATAGTTGTTTTGGAGCCAATGAATGTCAGAATTCCCAGCACACACATTAAGCACTTGAGAAATGAGACATACACGCCTGTTCACAAACCCTTGTCAGGTGTATACAAGGAAGCCAGACTCAGTGACTCGGATAGTACCTGCAACGTCCTATTCGTCCGGGAACAGACCGCGATAGCCGAGATTGTACGGCCATATACGGCTCATGGAGAGAGCGACAGCAAGAAGGGCAAAGAAAGATCCAGGGAAAATGAAATGTAATTATTTGGGAAGTTAAATCTCTCGAGACTAGTCAATTCTGTTTATTTTCCTATTAAGTGAAGGCAAGCAAAAATATGACCAAAACAGAACACACACAGTAAACAGTGCAAATTGAAGAGGAAAACACACAAAACAAAGCAGGAAAGATAACGTTGTCATAGCACAGTGTGCCACATTTCAGCAACGTCCGAGGCTCGTCACGAACTCAAATCATTAATATCTGAAGATACATACCCGTCTGCTCCATCAACAGACACTGCGAACTCCGACGAACGCAGAATGCGCCGGATAACAAGGGACAGAACTCCCTTATAACAAATACAAAGATATAAAAAAAAAAAAAAAAAAGAACGTCATGACAGTTGCCACATTTCACAGTCGACATGTCAATTATCATTACTGGATACATACCTCTGCTCCATCAACAGACTCAATCACAAGTGCTCCGTCCAGGGACAGATCTTCAACAAAGATATTACGACCCTTAATGGCCATTGTGGACCTTTGAGAGATTGAGCAACTACCAGAAACTTTTCTTTTGACATCTGAAAATGTCAATCCCCATTTTGGTTTCCATGTGATACGAGGCCATACTTCCACCTCCTGCCCATTAAACACTTGTTGAACTGGATCACCTACTTGTACCCCAACCTAGAGCAGATAAATAGACAATGAGTCGGTGTGAAAAGAGAAAACTAAATTGAGAAATAGAGAGAAAGGTTCCAATAATTGAAATGTACCAAAAATAGCACAGTTTACCTTTCTGAGAATGAGGCTGTTTGCACGATAGATGGCCATTTCTCCAGAAGTTGCACTGTGATATGGATTTCCTTTTGGTACCTTCATTAAATTCAATCAAATAAGAAAAAATAAATCAAACTGGAAATGTAAATTCAGATTGAATCCCAATCAGAAAAGTTCCCATTCAACAGAAGGATCAAATAAACCTCTAAATTTCGATTTAATACATCTGCAATAATGTAATTATGCACTTACGATAGTGTTTTGTTACTTTCTTTAATATCTTCTGAGATTTGACAGGACATGCAGAAAGCTTAGTCCAACAATTTTTTCTCCATAGAAGGACCAACAATATCAAACCAGTAACTCACAATCTCTCAGTTACGTAATAGATACTATACTATCTAAATTCAACCATTGACTAACCTTACTATCTTCACTTCTTTTTTTTTTTTTTTTTTTTTTTTCATTGGGGACTTAACCTTACTAATCTTCACTTCTTTTTTTTTTTTGTTTTTTTTTTTTGGGTGGATAGCAAAATATTCAACATCAAAAATACGTATAAGATGATGAGAATGGCTATATAGAGCCCCTGCATGAAGGTGAAGTATCAGAGAAATCAAGTTTAGCTGCTTTTTTCTGTAAATCAATTAACGAGCATTTAAGCACACTGCTACAAAATAGTGATGCCAAGATCAAGTGAACAAACTTTAAATCAACTAAGAAAATCAGTTTATGATACTTACTTTTAGGCGAAAATCCTTAATGAGAAAAGAAATGCCCAAGATTCCGATTGGCATGAACCTTTCACGACAAAGCCATTGGTTCTATGTGCGAAGATGTTTTGCAGGAGGGAGAACTGAGACTCAACCAATTTTCCAGAACCCATCAGAAAAGGTATCGTCAGACAATATGTTGGCACAAAGATAATAGAATAACACACAATTGAATATATATTCCCACCAAGCTGGAAAAACTTGGTGACAAGCTTCCAGAGATTTTCTCTGGTCTCTAACTTTGAAGAACAGCTGCAACAAATCCTCAGGCCTCCAATTTTTTTATTCAAAACATTGTTCGGAGGTGGTCTTCAGAATGAGACATTTCCATATTCCGAACTTGAGATACAGAGCAATTTAATGTTCAGGGAAGGCATTACCGGTTAGCAGCATCCTAGGATTGTTTTCTTCAGCAGGGTGGCCATAGCAAGCCACGTATCATCACGCTAAATCCCACAAGTAAGACAAAACTGGTTGTTAGCAATGTCCATCCAACACGTAATCAACAGCACCAGGGAAGGGAGATACTATGACAACACAGGTAGGAAATGTTTTCATTACAGATACAAATAAGCAATGGTGAGGTCAATTCTGAACTGAATGCGTGAAGTTGTGGAGAAACTAAAATCATGTTTCTTCCTCTGGAGCAAGATAATTACCGATCAAATCCGACGCCCTTTAGGCTGATGGGGGCAAATTGGTGTTTTGGATAATCTTGCATCATACATTCAAGTCGAGTTTGAAGATTTAAATGAAAGTTTTTGCGCTGGCATCATTTGTATCGTGATGCAGGAATAAATAAACAACTGATAAGAATTCTGTGTTGCCCTTTTCATAGCAGTGAATCAGAAATGATCGACATAATTAAAATGAATGTACTGGGGATCAAGCAAGGGATCATTGCAGCATGACAAGGAAAGAATTACCTTCCCAAAATTTTTTCACTTAACAATAATAACAATGAGTGTTATAAAAAATTTGTAAAGAAAACAGAAGAAAGAGATCTACTTTGGGTTATAGCAACGTCACCCTAATAGTCGCCTCACTGTATTTCGTTTCAGTCTTCCTCGAATGTAAAGGACCAAGTTTCCAAAAGTCAATGCAATGAGAATTTAAGATTTGACAACGAAAAGTCAAAGCATTGAACCAATTTGACAAACATTGTGAACATGAACATAATCTTCCAATAACAAATGTGAACGTTGTTACTGCTACGCCATAACAACCATCAACAAAATATGAGATATCTCAATTTACTGGGTCTTTATGATAATTCTTTTTTTTTTTTTTTTTTTTTTTGTGGATAGCAAAATATTCAACTCACAAATACTAATAAGAGATGAGAATCTATATAGACCCCCTGCATGAAGGTGAAAGTATCAGAGAAATCAAGTTTAGCTGTTTTTCTGTAAATCAATAACGACATTAAGACACTCACAAAATAGGTGCAAGCAAGTGAACAAATTAAAATCAACTAGAGAAAATCATGTTTAGATACTTATTTAGGAAAATCCTAATGAGAAAAGAAATGCCCAAGATTCCAATTTGAACTTTCGACAGCATTTTCTATGCATTTTGAGAGGAAACTGAGACTCAACCATTTCCAGAACCCATCAGAAAAGGTATCTCAACAATGTGGCACAAAGAAAATAGAAAAAACACAATTGAATATATTCCACCAAGCTGGAAAAAACTTGGTACAACTTTCCAGAGATTTCTCTGTCTCTAACTTTGAAGAACAGCCACATCCAGGCCTCCAATTTTTTTCAAAACCATTGTTCAGTCTTCAGATGAACATTTCCAATATTCCGAACTTGAATACAGAGACAATTTATGTTCAGGGAAGGCATTACCTTAGCAGCATCCTCAGGATTGTTCTTCACAGGTGCATAAGCAAGCCACGTATCCATCACCTAATCCCACAAGTAAGAACTGGTTTAGCAATGTCCATAACAGTAACAACAGCACCAGGAAGGGAGATACTATGACAACACAGGTAGGAAATTGTTTTCATTACAGATAAAATAAGCAATGGTGAGTCAATCTAAACTGAATGCTGAAGTGTGAGAAACTAAAATCATGTTTCTCCTCTGGACAAGATAATTACCGTAAATCCGACCCTTGCTGATGGGGGCAATGTTTTTGGATAATCTTGCATCATACATTCAAGTCGAGTTGAAGATTTAAATGAAGTTTTGCTGGCATCTTTGTATCTGATGCAGGAATAAATAAACAACTGATAAGAATTCTGTGTTGCCCTTTTATACAGTAATCAAATGATCGAAAATTAAAATGAATGTACTGGATCAGAGGATCATTGCAGCATGACAAGAAAGAATTACCTTCCAAAATTTTTTCACTTAACATAATACAAATGAGTTGTTATAAAAAATGTAAAGAACAGAAGAAAGAATTACTTTGGGTTAACAAACTCCTTAATAGCGCCTCCTGTTTTCTTCAGCTCCTCAATATAAGGACCAAGTTCCAAAATCAACTGCAAGAGAATTAAGATTTGACACGAAAAGTCAAAGCATTGAACAATTTGACAAACATTGTAACATAACATAATCTCCAAATTAACAATAACGTTGTTACTCTACCATACACCATCAACAAAATATGAGATATCTCATTTACTGTCTTTATGATCAATCTCTTATTCCTATATTTGATCTAAGGAATTTCATTTTATCAACACCAGCAACCAGTTTGTGAAGATAATGGACAACTAAAGTAGTACCCACTTCCAAATCCAGGTGGGAAGGGAGAAAGATGGGAAAATGAGAGAATTTAATGGAGTTAATGGAATGAGAAACAAAAATTTCCAAAATTTACATGCCATCCTGTGAAAAATCTGATGACCAGTTTTAGAATGCCAAGGATCTTTATGAGTGATAATGGAGCCAACAGATATAAAAATAATTAGTATCCATTTTTCATTGTACCAGTTACTATATTCAGTTACATGCTTCTTGGAGACAAATTAGTGCCAGATAAATATCATGAAATTTACTTGATTGATATTTCCTGGGAAAGGAGAATAGCCTGTCTCGCAGTTGACATCTCCATCAGGATGCCCAGTTGCTCTAAGAAGAGGATCAAGCTGATTGTATTCAACATTAATCACCATCGACCTCCCTGAAAAGTGAATTTTGTCTTGTGATGTGAGTTTGTGACAAAAAAGTATAGAATCCATTAACCACTGTGCATATATGTACCTGCCCTTAAGTTGCTAAAAGCTCTGAAATATTCAAAACAGTATCCAGAAGGTTTAACATAAATACCAAAAGAAAATATATTTCATAGCAACAAGAAGAAATGCACCAAGCAATGCCCCTCTTGCCCCATGCCTTCCACCCACAAACCTCCAAGCCCAAAGAATAAGAAGAAACCATCACCCAATAGAAAACCCCTAGGTTCAGGGCCAAAACCGTTGAGAATAACTATCCATGTAAAAACAATCATGATACAACTTTCTTGTTTTAACGGGCAACTAAAAAATGTTATACTATATTTATTGCATATTGATTTGGAAAAAGAAATGATTTTTATGATACCATCAGCATGAGTAAGCTTGGTAATTCCTCCTATAGCTTCTTTAGCTTTCCGAGGAACAGCAAGAGAGTTAACATGGTATTGTTTGGTAGCACTGACGCCCAATGAAGCTGGAATTGCCTACACAAGTTCAAGTACGAATACCAATTATTCTCTATCTATAGCTGAACACATCTCTAATAATAATTAATAAACTCCATAAACAAGGACAAACCAAGAAGCATTTAAGCAACCAAACCTTGAAAAGAAGTCCATTTGTATCTTGGAAAAATAGAACCCATCTCAAACCAGCATCTCTCCTGAAAAAATAATGCAAGTAGCACTAAAATCAGGACACTACCGATAGCTAAACCAAAGATCGTGTAAAGGGCAAAGTTACACAACATGACAATCATATTTACTGCTACCCATGTACATAGGAATGGGAAAAACAAGAGGGTGCACTTCATGCCATTAATCTAGATTAGGTCCAATCAATTAATTCTTCGCATAAGTGAGAAAATGGAAGAAAAGGAGGCTTTAAATTACTGTTTGATAGCAAATTGTACTTTTGTGATTCTAGCAACATTTCAAATGGTGAGTTCAAGTTAAACAAATAGAAGTTCACACAATGAATATCTTTAAAAAAGAAACAAAAGCATGATTCATGAACAAATTCCACAAATTAGAAAAGCATTGAGACATACCATTTACTAAGAAGGCCACTAGAATAAAGAAGTGAATGGACATCGCCATGGCCGTGAGGTTTTGTCTAAAACAACCACTTAATGTTAAGAGTGCAAACAGCTTTGAAGTCATAATGTATGACATAATATGCATTATACCTACCTGAATCCTATATTTGTTATGTGGATCCAGAGCAAGCCTGGCATCATTATCTTCTAAGCATGCAACTTTTTCCTGGAATAAACAGTAAAATTTACACTTCAATACAGCTAATATACATATTTACAAGATTTCCAATAATTACATTAATGACTAATCTCATACCTGCTTAAGAAGTATGATCTGTGATGTTTTCATTCCAAAATAAGAATTTGATTCTAAGAGCTCTAATGTACGAGAATGTGTGTCATCTGATGTCATTATAACAAAAGGAATATCCCTTTGACATTCACCTGAATTTGTAAAAGCAAAAAGGTTACTAGAAAATGCAAAATGCATCATGAGTGAGTCATAATTTATAAATCAGGAAATATGCATCCTCAGTTGAGAAGCTTCAATTGTTGTCAATTTTAGCTGCAAACTACAGAAGTTTCATGCTAACTTAATGACAAATCAGGCATAAAATAATTCAAAACTTCAAAATTTGTCCTTTAACATGTCTTTAACATTGGGTTAGTTCCCCAGACCAAGGCAGAGGTTCATTGAATGAACTTTTTGCACTTTCTTGCTCCACAAAGAAAAATAATAAACACTATCTTAGAAAACGTGTAGGCCTAAAAGTTCCAATTAAGAAATCATTTAGCGAGAATTCAGAGTGAGCCTTTCATATGAAAACAAAAAAAGCAGCATTCCTTTCTCTGTGTGTTAAATTAATTAAAATTTGTTCTTTTTCCTTTTTTCAGTACACAAAATAAAAAATTTCACTTCTTTTTTTTATTTTGTTATTTTTCTGTGCTATGCCTTTTCCCACTTTTCTAAGAACATCTGGTAAAATTATAGTTATCGAACATATAACATAACAAATGGCAAGACATATTATTGTGGCAATAAGCTGTGGGTGTCAAACCTTGTGTCAGTCTATAGCTTGCTTCCTGAAGAGCTAGAACCGACTCTATGTAATGCTGCAGGAAACAAGTTCCTGTAGTGGTTTCCATTGGAAGAGCCACCTGCATATATGAAAAAGAACTTTTAACAATGTTGGTACATAGTCATAAAAACATTTGACTTGGGGAAGTTCCACTTCCCAAACTCCTTTTGACAGTCATGAAGGATTCTACTTCTCTTTTTCCATTTTACCTTTTTATTTTTTTTGCGACTAAATACCAAGTGAGACTGAGCATATGAGAGAAACAATCACTAATATGCAAACATTAGGGGGCAACACAAACTAATTTCTCATCATTGATGCGTGTTTTTTGCTGATGATGATTCAGTTTGAAGTTAATTTGGAGAAATGGAGAAAAAAACTGACCGTCTAGCATATTCAAGTTAAGGAGGAGAACTGAAAATGATATATGTTAGGAGAATAGAGTGAAGCAAGTTAATCTAGAGAGTATGAAAGCTTTACGAAGTATGCAATTTTGTACCTCTTTTCTATCATACAACAGGATTGAAAGAATGAGGAGAATGACAATCGTGAAAAGGAAACAGCAATGGGGTCTTTTGGATCATGAAATCCCTGATAAGTTGATAAGTTCTACAAAAATGGAACTGGACTGGCCATGGGGGTGTTGGACACTGAAGAAACATAATCCATAAAATTAGCAAGGCAACAATAGGGGTGTTATGCAGAAATACCCGAACAAATTATCAAATACAGGATTAGTCCATTTGTAGAAAAGTGGAAGTGGCACCCATAAAAAAGGGGGGGGGGGGGGGGGGTTTGGAAAAGTGGCAATTAAGATGGTTTAGGCATCAATGATTATAGGTGCAGTGGTACAAAGAGTTTATAGCATATTCAAGATATGGAAGAACAAAATGCAAGGTGATTCTAAGATGACTCGAAACAAATGGTAAAAATGCATATAGGAGAATTAGACCATTCTATAAAGATAGAGCTAAATGAGTAAAACTGAGAAAGATTATCCATATAGAACCTAATTAGATGGATGCATTTATTTGAGTTGCATATTGACTCTGTAAAAAGGAATATTGTTTTGGGCCAAATAACCAAATTAGAGGTAGAAATGATTGCATAAGCCTTTGTTTTTAGTCTTATTGCTTTTGGCCCCTCAAAAGTCATTCTGCTCATTAAGCAATGAAAAGGCTCCTAATATTTTGAAGTCAGATTTGTCATTTCAAGGATAAGGAGAAATTGCAAGTGGATATGCAGTTTGAGGTCAAGCCAACTAGGGATAAAAGAAGGAGAAAACAAAATAATGATAATTTGCTCATCTACGGAAAAGGCAAATGAGTCGAGATAAATAAAACTGTTTAAATCAAATACAATAAAAGAATTGGTGAAAAAGAAGTGCTTCAACTAAGAACTAAACCTAGAGAGAGCTAAGGGGAAAAAGATTTGCCATAGTTTCTCCTTAGTGGTAGGTAGTATAAGCAGATAAGAACAACAATAAGATAGCAGGGTTTACTGCATTACTAATATATCATAGTATATTACTAGCAATTCCTTTCCTTGCAAGTTAACAGAGACTATTGGTAGTCACCTTTATTCCATTGTATCCAAGACGTTCGCCAAGACCACCTGCAACAAGCACAAATGCAGCATTCTGGGCTTCTCTAACTCCTGCCTCCTCAAATTTGACAAAGTTTTCGTCACCAAAAGTTAAATTTTCTCCTGTTGGAACCTGAAATATTATTAATACTGAATCAGCCAAGATTCTAGTTATTTGCTGTATCATTTTTCATATGTCACTCATCAAAAAGACCAATATTTATGTGCAAAGCATAAACTACAAATGGTCAATGCTGAGGGTGAATATAATTTGACACGTTCATCATTTGATTGATTACTTGCATTATTTCAGCTTGAACTCTTAAATTAACACAAATTGATTCAAAAGTCCATCATCAAGCTTAATGGCTAAGTTGCTCCACTACTGCAGAAGAAGGATCAAGTCAAAAAATTTTGACACCAAGAGGATATTATTACAGTATGGAGGAAAGAGATATTCAGTAATTAATAACAGCAGAGCAGCCTCAAATTACATTTATTCTGAAGCGCACAACATGACAACAGTTAAATTCACAATCACAGGACCATGATAAGATATAAAAACCAAAAATTTCATTATTTCAGGAGAAAAATAAGCAGTACCATTGCAATACGAAAACAGTTCCATGTTACATTAAACATGAACAATGCATTTAAAGGAGAAAATATAGCAAACTAAGTTTCTGCTGCTGCATTATCAGTCAAATCACAGAACAAACAGTACTGAGTTTTAAACATGATATTCCATATTCACTTACAGACGGTGTAAAGCCATCAAAGGGGTTCTTTCCTGCTTTTGAATCGGCCAACAGTTCTCTTGCTGTTTTAATATATGATGCCAAACCTCCAGGGTAGCTGGAATTGAGGCGAGCCACCTAGATAGATCACCCAAATGCCATTAAAGTTACTAGCTGACAAAATTAAATTAAAAAGAAGAAATGCAACTTGTTTACAGTATAACGTTCATTTGGACAACCAAAAATCACTTGTATATACACTACACCTATAATCCAAATACCCTTAAGAAGGAAGAATGAAATGTCTTTAACTTTAGTAGCATCAAATTTGGGTTCTTTACAAGTAGCATCAAATTCAAAATTTGCTTACCGGACAGCATCATAGTTGCTGGTTTGGGCCTAATAGATCAAGTCGTTTAAAAACCAATCAGACCACTCTCTGAATTCTCAAGTAATTCCTATTTTCTTATCAACAGATCCACTTTCATCAACGCATGAAAAAAACAATTTAAAACAAAATTCTTGATTAAATATAAAATTTTTTAAAAAAAATAACAAAACCTGATCGAACAAAGCTTTCTTCTCCTCATCATCAACGCCAGGTTCTGGCCAATGCTCAAACAGATGACTCTGCCCCATTTCTACTAATATTTTCGCCAGCTCAATCTGCCAAGTCACCACCACCACCACCATCATTTCCAACAACAACAAGAACCGCATTCATCCATACATAAAAAAAAAAATAAAGAAAAGTACAAAACAAATACATGCACACACAAACAGTATGTATATACCTGCTCAGGGGGGAGAAGGTGAAGGTTTTTATGTAAATTAGGGACGGAGGACGCAAAATCGCCATTGATGTTAAGCTTCGAAAGAGCTTCCGTAGTGGATTCCATTTGTTGATGTTGTTGTTCTCTGTAACTAAATATTATAATATCCGATCGGTGAGAGATTGGTTATATGAAAAACAGAGTTCGAGTTACGTGAAAGGAAGCTCTGCTGTCGCCAATCATTTAAAATTGTGGATCTTTTGATTTTGGAAAAAAGTTGACTGGCTACTGGAACTTACCGGTTACCAACCGTTAGTTCACTTCTACTCTGTTCGACAACTTTAAGATAGCGTTCCGCACCAGCTTCCAGGATTCCCAACGTCTTTTGAATTAGCTTTTTGGTATTTTTATGAAGTAAAAATTCAATCTCGACTACTTGTATGCTCCCACAATGTAACTTTTAATTTTAGAGGCCGAGCGAAATTCCCTGTGAGCCGTTAAACACGCTAATATTAGTTTTTCATATTTACTGTTTATCTTTTAATTAAATTTTTAAAATTCAATTAATTAAATTGTCATTTTTAAGTTAAACAATTAACTGAACAGTTATTTTTATTGAACAAAGTTAATTAAAAATATTATATAAACAACTACAAGTTAAAAGCTAATAGCTAACAATCAATAACTATTAGTAGCTAAGAGCTAATCGTTAATAGCTCCTATTGTTAAAGAACTCCTTAGACTATCTTAGCTTTTAATGTACTTTTAAGGTGACATCGTAATTTTTCCTCGACAACTATTTTTAAAGTAGCCTTTAACATAAATTTTATATTAGTTTTTAGAATTTAGGACTTAGAATCTAACGTTTAAAATGTTGAGGGAAAGATGATTTTTTTAAAACGATGCTCTTGATGTTTCAATTAATAAATAATTAAATTTTTATTTTTATCGAATATTTTATTTTAAATCACCGTATAAATAGTTAATCAGGGGTTGATAGCTTACCACTAATGTTTTAGTGTTGCCATCGAGGTATGGAAGTTGGGTGTAACTGCAAAACTTGCAGTACCACGTCCAAACATGTTTATAGATTTGGATACCTACATCTTATCTCAATCTCATTTAAAATCCTTTTATAGTATCATGTATGCACCCATTTAAAATTTTCACACTCATACCCGTTTCATATCCATTTAATTAATATATGAATTTGCTTGAAATGGATTGGAATGGGTAAATATCACGAAAATTCCAGTCGTTTAATATTTTTAAGTTTTTTTTTTTTATGATATTATGTTTTTTAATTTATAAATGTTTGAGTAAAATATTAAGCTCAATATGTACTTAAATTTATTATATTAAATATGTTTAAATTATATAATTGATTTTGGTGGGTAGAGTGTACCAACAGTTTTAAATCTCATACTCAACCTAAATCAACGGTAAATAGTTCTTGGTAGCTTGCACGGGTCATTTTGCGGGGTGCTAAAACCTCACATCGCAGAGGCTATCGGCCTTAGGGAGGTTTTATTTTGGATGCTCACGAGATCTATTGACAGGGTTCTGGTGGAAACAGATTGCTTGCGACTGTTTCAAGCTGTCACTATTAGTTTTGATTCTTATTCTGATTGGGCACCAGTGCTAAAAGAGATTAAACAACTGCTTTCTCAAATATCATCTAGTGAATTGGTTTGGGTTAGGAGGCAAGGTAACAAGCCTGCACATGCTCTTGCTCTAGCTGCACGGGTCCATTTTGGGCGGGGTGCTACTCTACATTCGCAGAGGCCTATCTGCCTTAGGGAGGTTTTTATTTTGGATTGCTCCACGAGATTATTGACAGGGGTTCTGGTGGAAACAGATTGCTTTGCGCTGTTTTCAAGGCTGTCCTAATTAGTTTTGATTCTTATTCTGATTGGGCACCAGTGCTAAAAGAGATAACAACTGCTTTTCTCAAATATCCCCCATCCTAGTTTGAAATTTGGTTTGGTGAATTGGTTTGGGTTAGGAGGCAAGGTAACAAGCCTGCACATGCTCTTGCTCGTATGGCATGTTTACATCCTTGTTTCCGTCTATGGGACTCGACTTCCCAATGTATTACAGATCTTATTTGTTATGATTTATTATAAATATATGATCTTATTTACTTAAAAAAAAGCGGTAAATAGTTAATTTAATACATATACATATCCCAAATCTATTTAATTAATATTAAAACCTATTATAAATGGATTTTTGTAGGTGGGATATTCACCCACTCCCATTCCCAGCTGGCACACAGTGAACAATGCTAGAGATGATTTTGATCTATTTTGGTCCTTTCCTTTTACACCATCAACTTTATAAAGATTGCGTTTTTACAGTAAAAACTACCTTAAAGAGAAAAATAAAAATAAAATTATTTTCCTTCTTTAATTTTTTTTCTTATTTTTATTAGTTTTCTTTAATTTAAAAAAAAAACAAATAAATGATTTTATCTACTAATTATTTAATTTTTTTTATAGGCAGGGATATAGTCACTTGCTAAAGCAAAAATTGTTGAAGTCCATAGAATCTTCCTATGTATGGAAATAAAAGTTAAAAGGGAAGTTAAAATTTACCTTAAAAAAAAAAAAAGGAAAGTTAAAATTACTTAAGAAGGTATTTTTATCAATTTCAATATCAACTCTTTTAACAATTTTTGTTCTGCTATTATTGCCATATTATCCAAATAAAGAAATAAATACGATATTATTTCCATATTATCCAATTATTTTTCATAAGCAGCGTTTAAATCTAAATTACATATTTTGAATTAATTATACCAAACATAAAAATTCACTTTCAAATTAAAACTCATTTACAAATAAATTTTATATTTTAAATTCATTTATAACAAAGCAACGTAAAATTCTCGTAATCTTTTATAAGCAGTGGCTAAGCACATGGATCAATGCTATGGCAATGGCATCACAAATGCACAAAATCCCTTTACAACTTTTGATTTCCCCTTTTAAACAGGTAAAAAGACAGGTATATTAGTTGAGATGTAATTTCTCAACAACTATAACAAAGTGGGTGTCATATCATTTGTCCTTATTTTGTTTATTTCCTCCTAATCCTATAACTATATTCCACATATAATGATTCTTTCTTTTCTAATAACTAAATGATTCTTGGAACAAACTTTTTCAAGGGAATTGAGCATATGCTTTGATTCCTACCAAGTATTCTCAATTCAAGAATCTTTGCAATCCTTTTTTTTTTTTTTGGGCTTTTCATTGTTTCTATACAAGTTACCTTTATTATGATTAACATTTTCACATGTTCATTTTATTTTTTATTTAAATAGGATTACTAATAATTAGCTATTCCACATTAGTTCCAAATGGTTTGCAAAGTCGAAATCAAAATTAGTTCGAAGTTGACTAATCTAGTTATACTTTAATTTAATTATAAATTAAAATAATAATTGAATCTATCAATCTTTTTAAATTTCAATTGCTTAAAAACAGTTAAATTCAGAGATGCTCATTTTATTCGACGATGAAACTCAATTTAAATGAAGTAGGTAAAATTATTTTTATTTAATGCGAAATAAACATAGATTTTAAAAATAAAACTTGACCCTATCTATCTCAAATATATTTCAAGTAATAATTGATGGGAGATATATTGAGATCATTCTTTTTGTTTTTTACACTGACATGAATTTTATTTATGTTTTACTTTTACAGAATTGAACGTTCATCAAAATTTTTGGAAAGTCTCCTACCTGACCCAACCCAATGATTACGGTCTAATTCGGACTTCAAAATCATTAGGCCCAACCCATGCTGGCCCAGGATTTTCCCACTACCCACAGTCTCTGACCCTATACTCATATAAATATAAAATTCTTCGAGTTTTGAAGTTGACCAGAAAGGAAACGATACCGTTTTTGTCTGTCCGCATTAATTATATATATTAGTTACTCCTTTCGTAATCGTAACCTCCAGTGAGCAGTCAAGTCTGAGTCAGAAGCTCGAAGACCAAAAGGGAAAAGATGCTCTCTTTGAGTTCTCCCTCTAGAAATTTAATTCATCTTTAGGGTTTTCGTTTTTGTCTTATCTTTGCAGTCAGTAAAGCTTGTCCCTTATCAGGTACAAATAGTTGTTTCTATGATCTAAATATAAGAATCTCTATTATTTTTCTGGGTATATGGTTTTTTTTTTTTTTTTTCCTTCGCTTATTGCTTCCGTTTATAGGTAGTTAAGTGTCAATTACTAGCAGGAGAATGTGAACTGACAAAAGTTTGTTTTTTTTTTTTTTTAAATTTCTTTTTGGATAGAATGGGACGCAAGGGGATAAATCCCCGTAATTTGGGTCGGGTTTTTGATGGTAATGGTGAAGTTTATGATCTTGGATGTGATGCGAGGTTGGCTAGACGATTGAAGAGAAGGTGCATTGCAAATCAAAATTTCAAGCGTACTCCTCCGAAAGTTCCTGAAGCTAACAGTATCAAAATTGATATTGATGACCATGATGAAGAAAAAGAAGAATTAGTGGATCCTGATTACATAAAATATTTGGATGATTTGTCTTCAAAACTAGTTGATAATAGTAATGTTTCTAACAATAGTTCTTTGGATAATGGAAACACTGGTGGTGATGTGTTGGTAGATGATGAAGAATTAGAGGATCCTGATTACATAAATTATTTGGATGGTTTACAACTTGGTGATGGTACTGTTTCTAACAGTAGGTCTTTGAATAATGGAAATACTAGTGGCAATGTGTTGGTAAATGATGATGATGATGCATTAGAGGATCCTGATTACTTGAATTATTTGGATGGTTTACCACTTGGTGATGGTACTGTTTCTAACAATAGGTCTTTGGATAATGGAAACACTAGTGGCAAGGAGTTGGTAAATGATGATGATGCATTAGAGGATCCTGATTACTTGAACTATTTGGATTGTTTACCACCTGGTGATGGTAATGTTTCTAACAATAGCTCGTTGGATAACGGAAACACTAGTGGCGATGTGTTGGTAAATGATGATGATGCATTAGAGGACACCTGGTGATGGTAATGTTTCTAACAATAGCTCGTTGGATAACGGAAACACTAGTGGCGATGTGTTGGTAAATGATGATGATGCATTAGAGGATCCTGATTACTTGAAATATTTGGATGGTTTACCGCCTGGCGATGGTAATGTTTCTAACAGTAGGTCTTTGGACAATGGAAACAGTAGTGGTGATGTGTTGGTAAATGATGATGATGCATTAGAGGATCCTGATTACTTGAACTATCTGGATAGTTTACCGCCTAGTGATGGTAATGTTTCTAACAATAGGTCTTTAGACAATGGAAACAGTAGTGACGATGTGTTGGTAAATGATGATGATGCATTAGAGGATCCTGATTACTTGAACTATCTGGATAGTTTGCATTAGAGGATCCTGATTACTTGAACTATCTGGATAGTTTACCGCCTAGTGATGGTAATGTTTCTAACAATAGGTCTTTAGACAATGGAAACAGTAGTGACGATGTGTTGGTAAATGATGATGATGCATTAGAGGATCCTGATTACTTGAACTATTTGGATGGTTTACCACTTGGTGATGGTACTGCTTCTAACAATGTGTCTTTGGATGATGGAAACACTGGCAGCGATGTGTTGGTAGTAGATGATGATGATGATGAATTAGAGGATCCTGATTACATAAACTATTTGGATGATTTATCTTCACAACCACTTTGTGATAGTACTGTTTCTAATTATAGGTCTTTGGATAATGGAAACACCAATGATCATGTGTTACTAGAGAACAGGTCGGTTAATGCTGATGCTGCTCATAATATTGATACTTTAAATGATGGAGATCCTGAGTACGAGAGAATCCAAGAAAGTATCAGTGTTGAAGTTGGTGATAGAGATGGTAGAAAATTACTTGACAATGATTATGAGAATTTTTTGTGTAATATACCTTCAGATTTAGAACCATTTCTTTGTAGTGATGTTAATAAAAGTTTTGTGAATGGTGGTGTTAATGTTAATGCAGTTCATCAATCTCTGAATAATGGTGATGCAACTGGTGATGTGTTGTTAGAGATTGATGCTTATACTAATGATGCTTTCAGTGATGGAGATCCTCAATGTGAGACAACCCCAGACAGTAACAATATTGAAACTGATGATAACAAAGAAGTATTAGTGGATGGTGCTTATGAAGAGTTTTTGAGTAGTCTACCTTCAGAACCTTCTTTTGATAGTGCTGTTCGTAATGATAATTCCGTGAGTGCTGGTGTTAATGCTGTTAATACATCTTTTCAGAATCGTACTAGTGGGAATGAATTGACGGAGGAGTCTGTTGATGATGCTTATAATACTGATAATGATAATAGTAGTGGTAGTAATAGTAAAAAGAACAATTGTTTCAATGATATGGATCCTCATAATATTCAACATGATAGGTATAGAGTGGAAAATATCGATACAGTGAGGCCTAAACCAGAAGCTGCAGGTGCGACCAAGCATGATCAGAAACATAAAATGAAGTGTGACATAGTGGACCCTTGCTACAACACTTTTTTGAGTTCACTGAAGAGAGAGGGCAAGTACTGGGTATTTATGCCTGAAAGTGGTGGAAAAGTTGTATATGGAGAGGATGAGGAGAGTTCATCTGACTCGGAAGTAATTGTGATGGACAACGATCCATTTGCTGATGAAGATTATTCTCCATTTGTTTCTTCAAAGTCAAAACCAGATGATGCACTTGTATGTATCTCTTTCTTCCCCAATCTATCTAATGTTGCATGTTTCTGATACTTGAAAGCTGTTCCATTTTGTTTAACTATTTATGTTATTTTGCAAATCAAGTATGAAGATGGCAAGGGGTGCATTAAGAGTTCATTTCGAAATGGACATTCTTTGTTCAGGGAGAGCCTTCTAGAAATTCTCAGAAAGCCATATGATGAAAAGGAGTACGAGGAACTTTTGGGTGAAGTATATGTCCACAGGCCAGTGAAAATAGAAAAAGACATGCGTAATGGGAGGACAAGAGTATGTTTGGCAGGAAGAAGTCCATCTTATCTTGATCTGCACAAGGGTAATGTTCATCAGCAATTTTTTTTTCTCTTGTTCTGCAAATACATATCTTTTTACCTTTTGAAGGCACAATTAATTAAACATTCATAGGCAATATTTGATTAACTAAGGCAGAAATTATGATTAGTGCATAAATTGTTTCTGCTACTCTAATAATATGTTCTAATCATTGGCAGAACCACAGAAGCATCTAAATATTTCCAAGTTCTCTAGCACTTTCTAGGGCTTCATAACTTTTGACACCCAAAATTTCATGTTGCATTGAGCTGCTTTTCATTTCAACCAATGGTCATGTGATCTTCTCAGCACTTATTACATCAAATGGCCAGTTCTTGGCTTGAGGTGATGATAAGCAACAAAATGATCACCAACAAAATGAAAAATTATTTACAAGAAATAACTATCTCAACATTTATTCTTCCGCTGCTAACGTTATCAAATTGTTTAGTGAAAGTCCTAATCTATTTTATTGTTGTCAGAATGATCATGTTTGTTTGCTGAAATATTTGTTGTGGCAGGAATGCCTGAATATAATTTGCTTCTCTGTACATTTTGCCAATTCTATTTTCTCACACTTGCCTCGGTATTCTTGGTTTTATACATGGTTGCTGCTATTTGTATGAATGCTATAAAATCAATCATTCAAAAGAATTTTGGAAAAGAAAAGAGATGCTTAAGAAAATGAAAATAAAAAATGAAAGAAAAAGAGGGGAACTTGTTTGGATAATGCCACTGCCTTGGATATCATTCCTCTGTACTTCAGCATAGTTGCTATTGATGTCTCATTTAAGGATGATTTATGTACTTTTACTTTTTCAGTGCAGGATGCTATTTTGCTTGGGATTCATAATCAACTTGTGCTTTCAAATTTTGTTCACATGCTTTGATGTGTATATGCTGTAATGATTTATTCACAATTTGGATGAAAATCTAGTACTAAGTTAAATACTTTTTCTGACTTTGTAGATCTTCATAGAAAAATTCTAGAAGCTGGATCTAACAAGTCTAAAATTTTGAATCTTTTGCGTGGATTTTTCTACTGGTTGCAGGTAAGTATTTTACTTCATTTTGTCCACAAAGGACCTTTCCATTTGCATAAATTTTAATATATGCTTGTTTGAATGGAATCCAACCAAATCCAAATTATCCATTGATTCACTGTAATTTGGAAGTGGTTAGTCTTTAATCTACATGTCAAGTAAATTATAGTCATTGAGTTTACTTCTGTTTTTCCATTTTCTTGCCTTTTTTTCTTTCCTTGAAATAAATTCTAGACATATGGGTTAAGTCCTGCAACCACTCACATCTTGTACAGTTTACAGTAATGGCACTTGCTGACCTATTTGGTTGATGTTCATATGATTCAGAATTTGGCGCATGAAGGACAGTTTAAACCTTGGACAGACTCATCATGTTTGGAAGTTTTCCCACCGAAAATTCTATAATTCCCATTGCAGCAACAAAGATGGAAACTGAAATCTAGTTTGTGAAAGAATATTTTGGCAGATACAAGATTGTGCATTCAGCTATTGTCGCGGTGTAAAAGGCATCAATGTGGAAGAGCCAAGTTCTGTTTGCTGAAAGTGTGATGCAACTTGTTGAATGTTGTGGGGAGAAGGCTATATATATAAAAAACTGTTTTACCAGATCAAGTCACAATCTGATACCCGATAGTAATGTCTATATTTTGTCTAGCCACTTTGTTTGAACGTTGTTCATTGTGCATCTCGGAGCTGGTCATCATTATTAAGCAGAACGCGTGGCTTCCCCATGCTGAAGTTCAATACCCTTGCATTCATGTTATATTTGATTTCTCCATCATATAACAGCTTTCTTATGTAGTGCTCTATGTCTGAACCGATCAGTCTAAGTGTGTACTCCGTCAAGGGGGCGCCCTGGTTTCAGATGGAAGTGTCAGTTACCCAGTAGAGTGAATCAAAGGATGAAACAAGGTTGTGCTAACATACGGATTACATTTTTTCTCTCTGTATGTAGCTTTCTATTCATCATTGAATATGCAACTGGAAAAACTAAATCAAATTTTTTTCAGGATGGTAAGAGTGGCACATTGACAAGTACAAGCTTAAATCTTATTTCTCAAGTCCTAACTGAGTTCACGATAAAGAACTTGACTTAAACGGCACAAGTCAAATTCCTTTTAGTTTTTTTTTTCTTTTTTTCTTTTTTAAAAAAATTAGTCTACCAAGGGCAATACAAATATTTTCTAAAAGTAATGAAAAGTGGAAACAGTTTTGAAAAGCAACTTGAAGCTCTACAAAATTGAGATGCTACAATCAAGATTTTAATTAAACTATAATCCTTAGTCTATGCAAATTAAAATGTTTGGCAGACTGACCTCGTAGTGATCCACAAGCTCTTGGAAGTAAGAGTAGACCTTATGGCACGTCTCATCAGTCCAGACAAACTCATTAGTAGGATCAAGGAGAAGGGTAAGCTTATCCATTTGAGTTTGATCGAATTCCCAGGTTTCAGGATCAATGTAAGCAGCATAGATTCTAACATGGCGAGTCACGCTGCTAAGCCACTGTCCTCCATATTCTCTGCTCATGTTCTTGCTCTTCACATTCACTTGCTTTTCCACTGGCCTCGGCTGTGTTGCTTGTTTCGCCTTCTCCTGCTGCTTCGTTTCTTTTTCTCCTTGTGCAGTATTCAATTGCTGTGTTTCTTGGACCTCTGCTTGCTCTTGAGCTGAAACGGAGAAAACCCTTTTTCTTCTTTCTCCTCTTTTCCCTCCGACACAACTCAACATGGAGAATTTTGTACAAGCCATGTAAGATGATGTTGATGCCATTTTTGCAGTATTATTATTGAGATAAACTCAATTCTGAGTTATCACAGTTCTTCAACTCTCTGTTGTTAGCTTTCTTTATCGATATTGCTCTTTAGGAACTGATTTTTGTGAAATTCTAAGAAGGCCAGTTGTTTTGGAACCATCTATTTTGTAGATAAGATAAACATATTTTTGTAGGAAGGAAAGAAATTTGTGGCCAAGAAACGCAGATAATGACTTGCCACCATTTCTGGCATTTTTGTCCCCAAATACTCAAAATTTTTAGTCAGATTAACCAATAGTAATATTTTACCTGGTAATATAGCTTAATCAACTACTGAAAACTTAAATAATGAGATGTACAACAATAACTTTATGGAGTTTAATCACCTTTTGATGACAGCAATGACAGGTTACAGGCTTGGGTTGAGAAATAAATATTGTAGTAGTAAGTGTCTCATTTCAAATGTTGATAAAATAAGCTCTGATTCTAATAATCCAAATGCTTTTGCAGCATCATTTTGTTTAATTTCTAAATTATTCGAAGTTCATATACATTGTAGATAAAAATTAAACGGAAAAAAAAAAAAATGTATCCCTATAATATAGCCTAGGAAGATAAAACAAAAACAACTAGTATTCCTGTAAAAGAAAAAAGAAAAAAAAAGAAAAAAGAAAATTGAAGAACAGATCCTATGCACAAACACTAGGCGTCACCTCGTCAAATCAGTGCCATCCCAATCCAAGCCTTTCTATTGCATGATGCCATCTACAATTCCAGAAATCAGAAAGAAATATGCTTAATAGGTTTACCTCATGCATGACAAACTCAATTCTTCCATGGCACAAGCTTGAGTGATTCGCACTTAAGCTTTAATTAAATATTGTAGATTGGTGTGTCCTCAGGTATTCATTATGCGAATTGGTTTAATTAGCTCATCTAGATCAACTAATTCGAACTCCATTGGATCACTATCCCTAAAGGACGTTTGCTCCTCCACTATATTAGTACTTTCTGCAGTTTCACCACTAAAATCTAGGCTGATATAATCAGCAATGCTTCCTTCAGAACCTATGTTATCATTATCTTCCACCAAGTGCTTTTCAGAAACTGCAGGTCCAGGATCAGATGTGTTTATATTCATGGAACCAAAGTATCGTCCTTGGGCTTTCTTCTTCTCTCGTGATTGCTTGCTTTTCTTTCCCTTGCTTCTGTTTTTTGGGTGGTGAAGCTTGCACTTGGATCCTTGAGGACAGGATCCCGTTGCTTCGTAAGTGGGGCAGACGTAGCTGTGCTTCTTCCGACACTGTATAGCAGAGTTATTGAATTTCACACACTAAAGATTTTGTGAGGTGTGCACACGTTGGAGGAAGAGAGGACAAAGTCATCATGCGATAGCATTAAAAAAAAGTATCTTGCTTTTTTGCAATATATAACAATAATATCGACTATTCAGTGAATGTTGCACAATACAAAAACATTCAAACGGGGAAAAATATTTTGAAGCACATTCAATAGAATTATAGCTAAAACACTGCTTTGGGTGGTATCAGCTTATAGTTTCATGAAAAAGGTACATCAGGTCAACTAAATGAATCAGGGTGGACAGTTCCAGCATGATAACAACCAAGAACAAAATACCTATCAAAGAAGTGGTTCAGCACACAGAAAAAAATTGTTTTGGGTTTTGGCACATTCACATGAAAATGCATCAAACTAAAAGGTGAATGTATTGTGTAAAACCCCCTCATTAAGACATGTCCTAGTTTATAAGAGAAATAAGTAAATAATCCATAGAATTGGCATTGGTTCCTTGCCATGAATAAAAGAATACTATGGAAGAGATGAGAACCAGACCCAGAACCAATAAATTCAAAAATAACATTGCTCTGTCCCCTATTTACGGTCTCTCGTGAGATGAGAATCCAAAACTGATACATCCTAATGCGGTTCTCAGGTTTAGCACCAAGGTTTGGTTGGACGGACAAGAGAATTTCTTCAAAATAGTCTCTATTGAAAAAATATTCTTGACAAGTATTCTGGAAGTTTAGCTTGAAAATAATGTAGATATCTATTACAACAAGAGAGCACAATGCTTTTGAAAATTTCCATAAAGGTCAACTGATAAAGCCATCTTCCTTGGTTGTGGGCCAAGTATTTTTGCTGGTATTTGGTTTTCGCGGGTGGTTAATGACTCATTCGCTAGAATATTTTAATATTAAGTTAACTGTATTCAAATAATAAAAACATACCTCGTCACCATCAGCACAATATCCCCTCAAAAATCCTTCACAGGTAGGTGCATTTGGATTCACATGCACATGCCTGTATGGACAATCTTTATTTGTGCAAAGACCTAACAAGAGAATTTGTCATGATCCTGCATTAATAAATTAAACAGGGGGCAAGTATAGAAAAAGCACCTTGCATAAAGTAAGAACAATCTGGCATCCTTTCCGGAATGACCTGCACAAGAAAAATCAGAATGTCAGCCGTCTCTTTGAACAAAGAAACATCAAGATACTTTGGCAATGTTCTTTACAAACCTTGTGAGTCAATTTGCAGTCCGCACTAGAACATAAACCATTCAGGAACTTTGTGCATACAGCAATTTTGGAGGGATCATGAATGTAGGGACATTTTCCATCATCTTTGTTACATTTTCCAAATCTAGTGAAAAATTGACAGTACTTCCGCTTTCTAGCCAGCCGTGATCTAGCAGTGTGCAAACTCCATCGAACTTTCTCACTTGCCAAAATCCGAGTTCGTTTCTTGGGATCTCTAACAAGTTGGTTGCCATTGCCAATTCGAACATACCTGCCAAATATGGAATTCATTTATATGCTACTACTCAATTAACTCGGTAATCAAAGACTTGTAAGGTGTCTTTTCTAAAACACTGATTTACACTATTCTCTAGCATTAACGGCAATAAACTCGCAAATAAAATGTGGTCAAAGACTATGAAAGTAAAGACATACTCATGTTTCCCAATCACTAATCTCCTTGGAACATAGGATCTCTTGGCATCCTTTTCTGTTTGAAGAGCTGCAAAGTTTGACGACCCGTCATCTACATTGAACATTAGTTCCGGTCATCAGACTAATTAAGTGGCATACACATCTAATTAGCAAAACTGCATCACAAGCTCTATCAAGTTCAAATGATCTAATATTCATAAACTCGAAATGCAAATTCCTTCTATAAATTAAATTGCAATTCAGTGGCATCAAAAGAAATTTTAGTACAGATAGTAACCTCAATAACATAGCACGAAGGATTTCTAAGAACCAACTCTGAGAAAACATGCAGGGTTGAATAGTAATTTTATGTTGTTCCTCAATAAATTTGCATGAGTGGACCTAATTATTATTATTTTCCCCTCTCTCTCTCTCTTTCTCTCTTATATTAAAGTGAAATGGGAGGTTGATGTCATTGTTGAACCCCTTACCTCAGGGATTATAAGCAACATGACAATCGGGTCCTTTTCATTATAAATTTAGGTTGTAGATCCTAATACTTCTGACACCTATCAAACAGTTAAATGTCATCCTTTTCACAATAAATTTATCATTAAGCCAAAATCGTTCAGTCTGCAGTTTAATCTAGGAAGAAGATCCACATAATATATCCCAATTTTATAGTGAATGAGAAAACAAAAATAGCAAGCATCCAACCCAAAACAGTTTTCCGTTCAAGGACAGGTTAACAGCAGAATCTTTAAGGACAACCTACTTTCACCTTAAATATAAAACAGAAAGAATGTCTGGCACAATCTAAACATGGGAGACTATTCAACCAGCAAATTATGCATTTTCTAGTAGCCTCCAAGAGCCCAAAGATCAGATGCATTCAATTAGCTTTCTGCTACTTTTACAGAGACTGAAAAATGTAGAATCCAAACAATGAAAATACGCAGAGTGAAAAATTTCAAGAATAAACCACCTGATATCCTCTGAAGAGTCCGCCTTGAGGAATCCATTTTGTAGCGAACTGGACCAATGCGGAATATCCGTTCTCCTGCCAAAGAATGAATAATTATAACACATCCTTAACAAAAGCACACCCTACAGTGGAATGAGAGAATAAAAATAGAGCTGCATAAGATGAAAGATAAGATGAGCAAACTGTAAATGCACACCAGGATCACCGCCTACCTGGTGCAGCTCTATACAATAAACCGACTTACGAGAACTATTTCTGTTCTTTGTCCCAGAAATGGCACGTGAAGCATCACTCTGCTCCCTTTTCTTCCTCTCTGCTTCAGCAACTGCTAGAGTGGCTTCCTGCTAGTCCAGTAAAAACAATTAATAGTAACAACCGTTTTAAACATCAGTAGACTTTAAAAGCTGTCAAGGTTGGCGGTAAAGGAAAAAGAAAAGGTCCCCATTTGTCTGCCGCCTCACTAACCTCATTTACTTTCTTTGATCGCCTTTCCAGTGATTTTGACCACTTTAAACTAGACCCACCAACACCTAATACCTTGGATTTTCGAAGTGAAAACCCATGTTTTGACCTGGTGTAAACAGTATCCCTTTTTCTCAACAACAGCAATTTCCTACTAGAAAAAGAGAATTTGTCAACTTTCAGGCAAAGACGTCAAACATAACAAAACTGATAAAATCTACAGAAATATTAAGAAACCACCATCTGCTGCTTATACCTAATAGTAGATGAGGAACTATTGCCAGAACTGACAACTGAAGTTGGCATGAAGTTTCTCCAGTACGTTGCTCTTTTCCAAGGAAACAAGTGAGGCAAGACCTTCTGACGATTCAATGAACCACCATCATCATTTGATAACCGAGAACTTCGTAGTGTCCAGACCAAAGAGAATTTTGAAGGTTTGCGCGTCTTTGTTACATCTGCACATGGATACCCACTTAAGTTTTTTTTTTCCCCCAACTAAAACTGCTACCCCGAAAAAAAACAAATCAAGTTTACCCTAACGACATCTCCGGATTCATTCACTGGACTCTACTACGTTTAAGCTGCAGCTGGCCCTAAGAGATAAATCTATGCATAACAAAAACACCACCAATAAAAACTGCTAAAGCGGACATTAAAAGATGGCATTACACATGAAGAGAATCTATGCATAATTAAATGTTCTGATTTGCTAAATCTTCAATAGATCGTCCAAAAATTAATAGCTAGAATTTTAATTTTCATATTGTATTGGTTGAAGATAAAGATAACTAGGGCCTTTGAGCACAATACAATTAAGCAGATACAAATAAAGATCTCCAAACTAAATTTGAAAACCAAAAACTAGAACCAAATACGTTGGTGCAATTGTTTTAAATCCAAACAACATATTTTCACAAGATTAAGGTAGATGCATGTATTATACCAGCAAGTGCACACACAAACAAAATGAAATTGCAATTTCACTTGATGTCTAGAAAATTAAGCAATGCTATTTATTTAGACAGTTCATTCTTAAATTTATGATGCAAACTTCTGCCAAAATTGAATTCAACAAACACACCTTTACGCAATTTTCTCTTATTCAGACTTTGGCTGGAAGAAATACTATGAAGAGATTTCCCCTCAGAATTTACGCTTTCATCAGACATGCCAACTGCCACCTTGACCTGATTGTCCAGTGAAGTCCGAATAAGCTGATTTTTCCTCCTCTTGTAATAGCTATCAGAGGGTATGGCTGGAATATTGTGGGCATGGTTCACAGACAATGAATGAGGATTTGAAGTTGCAACCAACTGATTTAGTTTTTGCTTAACATATTTTATACTGTTGACGTTTGAAGAAACCAGATTCCCATCATTTGTCTCATTATTATAATCCAAAATGTTAATTTGGCCAGTTTGAACCATAGAATTTTCTACATTTTTTATCACATCTTCAGAAGACTTTAGTACATTCTTACTTTCTGGGGATGTCATAGGATCTGGTGCAATTTCAGCAGCACAATCATGAAGAGGCTGTGCTAATGAGGAAGATATCAGATCCCCAAAAGAATTAGTAGCATGATTGGGCATTTTAGTGGCACTGGGTAATGGTGGTGTTCTGGGCCTCTCAAAAGAAGCATGCCCTCCTGTTCTCACAAAATTTGGTGGGTCAACAGTAGTTCTGGTGTCAGGTCCATCATTCTTCACTTCATCTGTTCCCAAAGAATTCAACCGAGGCACAGAAGAACTCAAGATATTAGACCCCTGGAATTGACCAGTCACTGGAATAGGCTTTCGGACAAGACTGTTACCCTTGCGAATGTAAGAGGTGCCTAGCAACTTTGTCATCTTTTTAGGCAATTGCCTTTGTGCAGGAACAGTGCTTGAGATAACCTTGTTTCCGGGAGAAGCAGAAGTGGAAGAATTATCAGTTCGATGCCATGTTCGGGATTTTGAGATGTGGGTTGAAGATGGTGTACTTTTTGCAGTAAAACCAAATGATGGGCGACCTGGATAAATCCTAGAAACTGCATGAGTAAGCTGGTTCTTTCTCCCATATTTTTCTCCATTAAACGTAGTCAGAATTTGAGTGCTATTTCTAGAAGCTTGTGATGGCAAAGATGCAATCCTCCTGCTAAATAAGTGATCATTTTCTACCCCATGATCTGAGTTTAAATTGTTTTCAGTATTCGGTGAACCAGAAGTGAGAGCAGATATATTAGAACCACCCTGTGTTGCAGTCTTCCCAAGAATGTTTTCATCATGCCCGCCAACCTTTTCAATGGAAAGTTGGTCGTGTGATGTGCTTGGGAAATCAGGCAATGTTTCTAGAGAATTCATATCAGATAATGTATCAGGCACAAGCCCTATAACTTCATTGCTGGAGCGGGGAGTAGAAACTCCAGTGCCATCTCTTAATGAAGATAAATAGTTCAACACAGAAGGTAAATCATTCTTCACATGATGACAACTGTCATTCTCCACATCCATGCCATCCAAGTCTGGCGACTGAAGTTCTGAAGGAAATACACACTTAGTGGTCCCACCGTCAACAATAGCTTGCTCCGAATCTACATTCATTTTTCTCACCTCACATCCTATACAAATAGAGTTTTTCTGGGGACTACTTCCAGGCATAACTGGAGTCACACCTGCTATCTGCTCACATTCGAATCGCGATAGACAAAGGGATTGCACTACTGGAATTTCCAGTTCCACAGCAGCTGAACAAGAATGAGTTCCCTTCAAACCACCATCTCCAATGGCATCTTTGAGTGAAGCTGCAGTGCTCCGATATCCTTCTCCTGAAGGATGATCACCAGATGTAGTGATCTCCCTCTGCAAATATGGGGGACCAGAATCAGAGAAAGGATGCAAGACAGACACCCTGGCTTCTGCTTCTGATTGCATTAGACCATTGCAAGAATTAGAAGGCACTTCTACACCTGATACTGAAGTACAAATAGTTACAGGTCCCTCTTTCACATCAGATGCCACTGGACAAGTCAATTCCAATTGAGAATCAGAGAATTTCCTTTTCTTTGTATTCTGTGGTGAAGTACCACTTGAAGAAACATCATTTATGCTGCCACTATCTGTTGAATTTTTCTTGGGAAAAGAGGTCACTCCATCAGTACAAGATTGCAAGCCAACATTGCCACAGCCATCACCCGAAACTGTAAATTCTGTTGGAGTAGGATTTTTGAAAGACAGTCTTAATGTTGTATCTACCCAACAACCCGGCCTAACCATATTTACAGGCTCTAAATACATGTCATTTCCCTCTGGCCTTGACAAATCCAACTCAGGTGTCTCAACATTTTTCTTACTCTCTGTAAGGTTAGGTGTATTCTCCTTGCTACCACCCCCAGAAACCATGCAACTTAATGATCTTCCTAGGGAAACGTCCTTAAGTGATGTAGTAAACTTATCCCGAGATGGCTGATTGTGAATATAGCCACTAGTCCCATGGCTGGAAAAATTAATTTCTCCTGCAATAGTATGGCTATTGTCAGAACTAATAACAGTCCCTACCCCTTCACTGGAGCTGCTTGCAGATGTGGTAGCATTCTGGATTTCCAATTCACCTGAATTTGATTGCAAAAGAATTTCATCACTTCCTGCAGATAAGCTAGCATTTAGAAATTGGTCTGGTATACCATTTTTGCCGGATGGACTACCTTTACTTTTAAAAGGCTGCTCACAACCAACATCAGTTGTTTGATCGTCAGAAACAGTATTTCTCCGTGGTGAATTAACTAAACAATTTTTATGCCCATCCCCTGATGTTGTATTACATAAACTTGCAGGAGTTTTAATTTTTCCTGGATTTAACAAACCAAAACTAGCATTACATTCAGAAGAAAGCAAAACCTTGGGAGATCCACTAGGTGCATTATTCTCTGGCAAGGACAAATCTCTGTTCCGGCAAAGCTGCTGGCTGGCTTCTTCAACACTATGAATATCAAATATAGTATTTTCACCTATCGATTTAGTATAATGCTTGCCAGTTTCAGAGATTAAATGCATATTGTTGGCAGAAATACCATTTGTAATATTATCATTAATTTTGGTTTCTTCATGACTTGAAGAACCCAAAGGAGAAGTTGAACGGTTCCACTTTCTCTTGGTACCAGGTACACATAATCTACCAGAATTATCACTTGTTCCATTCTCAAGAGTCATGGCCTTAGCAAATCTCTCCACTTTATCATTCTCGGGCATCACAGTCATCTCACTTGAGCAAGGCTGTGAATTAACGATGTCAAATGAAGCTATAGCAGCATCCTTTTCAGGCTCAGAGGATGCAGGTTGACCATGAACAAAGCCATCTGCAATTACAGGTTCGTTAGACTCCTTAATTCGCTGTGAAATTGATGAACTCAGATTAGGATCTACAACTTTCTTCACTACTCTCTTCACTATTTTTTTCTTCTTTCCAGCCTTTAGTGAAAATGCTTTACCAGAAACAACATTAGTTTCCTTCTTATTTGACAAAGTATCCGCACTAGAATTCTCCAATTTACTCTTTGCAGGGGATACTTTAGCCCTGCTGGAGCCTGGCAGTGAACTAGAATCAAGCATGTCGCCTGTACCAGAAACTGGAACTTCCTCTTTCAACTGTTTTAGGTCGTCATCAGAACCGGCAGAATAATTTGTTACGGATGCATTGTCCAATTTTACAGTGCCTTCATTGGGTTTTAGTGGTGAACTACATGCACTATCCTTATTAAGGACCAACAATTTCCTTACCTTTCCATTTTTAGGGGTCAAATTTGAATCAGAAACACCAGCAGAATTTGAAGCAGGCGTTAGAATAGCCTTAGCAACCAGTGAATTGGACTTGAAAGACACATCAAGCTCTACAGGACTTCCAACTCTCACTTGCTCTTCCATATCATGGTCGGCATACAAATTCTGATCCTTTCCTCTAAAACTAGATTTGCTATCATCAAAATAACCCGAATAATGCACCCTATCATCTTCCCTATTCCTATAGCTAGGCTTTTGAATCCTAAGTAGAACACTCTTTTTCTGTTGTTGCTTCCTTGGAGTGCGACTAAACTCATAACTACCCTCTCTACTTCCCTTGTTATTATGCCTTTCCAATTCTGCATTCGCTTCTCTGCACCTATAATGCTCACGTTTTACGGATCCAACTCGAATTCCATCAGGGTCACCAATTTGATTACTCCCAATATCAATAAACGAATCAAGCATATCTTCATTAACCTCTCTTTCATGAACCCTTCTCTGATTCTCATTCAACTGACCATCGTATGAAAAACCACGCAGATTCTCATAAAGTGAACTGTGATTCATTCGATTTGAAACCACTTGAAAATCCCTCGATGTCCTATCTGAAGTAGATCCAAATTGATTGCGACGATGATAATTGTCATCACCACGAACCAATAAAAGTTCTTCCCTTTGTTTGTGTTCCTCAATAAACCTAGAATTACTTTCTAAATCGTGCCTAATCTTCATAGGAGAAAATGGATGATTATCCAATTGGCGGCGATATGAATCTGGATCCAAGTTAGCATGAGAGATCGACCTCGTTGACCATCTATCAGGCAAAACCCTCGGTGGTTCCCTCAAATCGGATCGGTTTTCTCTAATATAATCGGGCAATCGACGCGGAAGCTCATCATCAAAAGGTTTCTGGTGCAAAACCCTAGGCGATTGAGTAAATTTATGAAAATCGGGGTGTTGTGTTGATCCAGGGTGGTTACTGGGGCTAAAGTTATTAGGATTGTAATTGAATTGAGAATTTTGGGAATTGAAAGGCTGCGGAGAAGGGACAGGACGGAATGATGGTAGTGGTGGCTGCGGTAGTTGTTGAGCTTGTGGACGGAGCGACGGCGGAGGTAGAGCAGCAAGGAGGCTAGAGTGGTGGGAAGCGTAAATATTGGGGTTATTGGGAAAAGGATGATGATGTGGAGGAGGAGCGGGAGGTTGATGGGCGTACCTGGTCTGGTGGAAGTAAGAAGGCCGAGGAGGATCCATACCGGTGGCCGGTGGCGGCTATTGGTTTCTGGTCTTCTTCTTCTTGGTGGACTATAGTGGGCTTTTCGGTTTAAACTATACTGTACACTTCGTTTGAGAGAAAGGGAGACGAACAAGAGAAACGGTACAAATACATTCTGTTTTGAGTGATCCACTCGCAAATTATAGCTTTGGTCAAGGTTTTCAGATCCGTCCGGTCATCTGTACAGTAGCCACATCGGAATTGAATCATAATTTAATTAAATATTTTATATTAAATATTCCGTCCTTTCCAATAAATTTTATAGTAAATTGACAAAACCAAGGGAGTAAAAATTAATATTTTTATCAAATCATACTTGTGAATTAAAATTCATAAATTTGTTAAAGTATTCAAATATCATAATAATTAAATTTTAATATATGATAATTTTGATAAATAATAAAATAAAAAACATAATAAATAATAAAAATAATTTAGCAAAATAATTTAGCAAAAATTTACATTTTATTAATTCATTAAACCTGAGTTGAATCAATTAAACCTAACGAATGCAATATATTTGTTTGGATTATTTTCACTATAAAGACCTAAGTTATATGGGTATACACGTGATTGAATATCGACTTCATTTTACAATGTAAAAGTATGTAATCTTCAATTTATGTAATGATAAATACCTTTGGCCGGAATCAATAGTTTCCATTCACCGGAGGGTTACATGATTTGTCGCATGTATTTTGTAATCTGACTCATATTTCCACATCAGTTTAATCTCTCTCTTCCTTTTCTTTTTTTTCTCTTTCTTCCTTTTCTTCCTCTATCAAATTTACTTTCTCTCCCAAGAAGGCCACGGTTCCGAAACCACTCACTTATTTTATTTATTTGAAAAAGCTCGTAAACGAATAAATATAAAATAGGAATATTTCAACCACCTAAGTAAAGAATTGTTACAAATAATGAAAAAACCTAATAAGTTTAGATATAGCGGAAGATCATTAAATTCGTTCACGAAAAGCCAAATGTATAGTGATTTTTACTGATAATCAACAACATATGTTTCGGTTCTGGAATCAACGGTTCTGGTTCTAAAAAATCTAGAACCAGAATCGTTACGATTTGGAACTGAACGGTGACAGTTTCAATTTTGATTTCTTAATGATTCCAAATCAACGGTTCCAGCCAGTTCTCCTATTAATTTTTCGGCATTATAAAATCACAAGTTTGTGAATATTTTTTTAATGAAAATTTAAAATTTAAATATTTATGAAATAATTTTTAGAAAAAACTTAAAGAAAAAATTAAAAAAAGGCTTGAACGTTTTTTTTTTAGAAAAAGGGTTTGAACTTAATTTATTTTTTTAAATGAAATGGGTATTTATAGTAAATCTAAAAAATTAATTTTACATAAATATCCTTAAAACTAGTTGTTATATAGTTGTTAGCAAAGTTAATTTTGAGATTTCACAAAAATATTTAAAAAAATAAAAAAATTATTGAAACCAGATGGAACCACTAGTTCTGACCGATTCTTGGAACTATCGGTTCACAGTTCCTCAAAAGTTGGAATTGGAACCGAACCGCAGACCCCTGGTTTCGGTTCCTCATGGTTTTATTTCCGGTTCTCACCAGTATTGAACCGACGATTTCGGTTCCAAAAACCGGAAAATTTTAAAATTTGGAGGGTCTATTAGCACTACATTTGAGTGAAATATTATGATAGCAACAACAAGTTTGGAATTAAAATTTTAATTTACCACTATTCAAACCATGATTCTGAAAAATCGGATCAGACTGGCCAGTCCAACCAGTTTAACTAGAAACTGGATTGCGGTCCGGTCCAAGGTACATAAAACGGGAGGCAAAAAAAATCACTCAGATTCAACTTGAATCGGATAAGAACCGGCAATTCGGTTTGAGTTATTATTACGGTTCAGATCAAACAAACAAATGAAAAAAAAAAAAAAAAGGAGGCAAAAAAACACTCAGATTCAACTTTGATCGGAATTCAGAACCGGCCAAATTCGGTTTGATTATTATTACGGTTCAGATCAAACCAAACAAATTGAAAAAAAAAAAAAAAAAACGTCTACAAATTGCAAACAAATGAAAAAAAAAAAAAAAACGAAAAGAGAAGATTAGAGCGTGTGGGTTGCTCCGGAAGCGGACGGTGGCCAGACCACCTTTGCCTGAAGAAGATCGGTGAGATGCTTCGTCTGGTGCCAGCAGTGAGACTCACCTCCCGGTGGTCGGACTGCAATTTATGCTTGAAAAATTCTCTCTCATGGGTATTTATCAACAGTCAGAGAGAGTGTCTTGGGTATTGATCAACCATTCAACATAAGTTCTTTTTTGTGAAACAAAGCCCACTCTTTAACACTGCATCCCATATTCAATGCTTCAACTTTTTATTAGCCAAGCTTTTTTTAATTAGCGATAGTAATGGTAGAGTAATAATAATATTATTGGTAAAATACTACTACTACTAATAATAATTATTATTATAAAATAGTAATAATAAATTTATTTTATTGTTATATTAATCCAAACTAAATCAAAATGTTGTTTTGTGTATTATTATAATTAGTTAAAAGTTTTATTAAATTACGCTTTATATTTATATATTATTAGGCTATATAAGTTAAAGGATTTATCATATATAATTTTTTATCCTTTTTTGTAAAAATTATTTCATATTTATGAATTCTATATTTTTAATTTTTTAAAAAAATATATTTAAATATTAGATATAAAAATCTGGTTGAACCGTATTGAATCTGGTTAACCCTCCGGTTTAATGAACCCCTACCCTCTGGTTAACATATATTTGTATATTAATTTATTTTTATATTTTTTATGTATCATATAAATCTAAATACTTTAATTTTTAATTCAATATAATTTAATTTTTAAAAATATATGAATCAACGACTAAAGGAATACCCCTAAATAATGGATGCCATGAGTATATCCAAACTTATTGGGTTTGAGGATGGGTATTAGCATTCCCTATCCGATAGGATATTGGAAAGGGTATGGGATTGAGGATGAGATTAGGTTTGAGTGTGGATATTGTACTACCTGATTTTAACCCTACCCATTGCCATCCCGATTTGAACTGGTAATTCATTTTTGGTTTTGGTCCATTTACAGTTGAATTTGGTTTTGGTTCAATTCTAATTTGAACCCAATCGATGGTCATGCTACTCAAAATCAAAAATCAAAAGTCCGCTTTTAGACTTAAAAGCTTTTTTTTTTTCCCCCTCTAATCATGCAAAACGAGAAGCGACAAGGAAAAAAAAAAAAATTCTTTTTTCAAGAACTCTATTTCCTTTGAATCTTGCCAATAAAAAGTCACTTATTCTCCGAATTATCTTTTTCCTCTGATCTTGAAATAAAGAGTAAGAAAAAAAAAAAAATTTCAAGAATTCCTTTGTTTTTTTTTTTTTTTTTTTTTTTTTTTTGGAAATTTTTTGCAATCAAGAACCATTGAAAATTTGTTCTTCTCACAGAATAGTCCCAGTTAATATTTTTGATGAGTTGGGGTTTTTTTTTTTTTTTTTTTTTTTTTGAATTTTGCAAATCAAGAACCATGAAAATTTGTTCTTTTTCAAGAAAGTCCCAGTTAATATTTTGATGATTTGGGTTTTCATTTTGATTTTAGTGATGGATTTGTTGATTTTGTATTGCATTTGATTTCAGATATGTTGATGATTTTTGTATATTTGGATTTTCATTTTAATTTCATTTTTACTCGTATTAAAATTTTCATATTATCTAAATATCATATCCACAAAAAGTACATAAGGGGTCTAGCTAGTTAATTACTTTATACTTAACTTTTTAGCATTGGTTGCATCGATCTCAAGTATTAAATCATTTTATCTTTAAATTATAATATCATATCAAAACAGGTACAAACTCTGTTTAGTTATTGTTCAGTTCACTGGTATTGCCACTGCATTTCAATATGGACTATCATCTGGATGTTCAGTCCAACAAGTCCTATTCAAGGGCATAACCTAATTTAACTTTATGGGAAGGATTTCAAATTTTATGGGTCAAGGAGTGTCCAGTCTCGATCAGCGTATTAAGGTAAAAAGCTAATTAGCTAATTATCTGAATAGCCTTAGGACACTGTATAGCGATTGGAGATAAATTTCATTGTAAGGTGAAAAGGGGCTCATGGTTAGCACTTACGAAAGATTAGCTATATGTGTATTTTTTTTTTTTTTATTAATGAATTGTGTGTTTCTTCCAAAAAAGGAAATAAACATTAGATAATGAATTCATAGCAACAAAAAGCATTTAGCAAAAAAAAAAAAAAAAAGAACAAGATTGCATTTTAGATTTGAAACAATAAACCTTATACCCTATTTGATAATTTTAGTTGTTCTAATAGTTATTAGCTGTTGTAAGCTATTAGCTATTAAATATTAATTATTACTGATTAGCTATTTATATAGCGGTTTAGAATAAAAATATTATGTAAAAAAAATACTAATTATTTTATTAGTTGTTTAATATAAAATGATGACAACAAAAGAGTGTATATGAACAAATATTGATATTGTATGGAACACAAGCCAAAGACAAACGATAATATATGCGTCATATAACGTTTCATAAAATGTATATCGAAATTTAAATGCTAAAATAAATATTGTATTACCGAACGTTATAATTAATTAAAATAATATTTTAATATAGTGAAAAACACTAAATGTTATTTAGTGTAATATTTCTTTTTCATCCCTCTGCACCTCTCTCTTTCTCTCTCTCTCTCTCTCCACCGAATCAAAAGTCGGAAAACCTACTTGTAATCTAAACTTAGAAGCTGACAAGAAGCAAGAACAAAAAACGTTGTTCTCTTTTTAAGAACTTTATATCGTTTAAATCTTTGAAATCAAAAACCACTTAAACTTCAAAGCCTCCTTTTCTCTCATATCTTGCAAATCAAGAAGCAAGAACAAAAATTCTATTTTTTTTTTATTTCAAGAATTTCTTTTTTTTCTAATCAAGAACAGGGATCTATTTCTTTTTCAAGGAAGTCTCAATTTTATATTTGAGTGTAGTGAGTATGATAATTAAATAGCTTATTATATTTATATTTATCATGTTTTGAGTAATTTCACATAATAATTATATATGAAATTAAGAATTATTATTTATATCTAAAAGTATACTTCTAAAAAAATTACAAATTCTACATGTCATCTTCATTAACCTTTTTTATTTTTATTTTTTATTGTTAATAACCTTTTCCTTGGTTTACAAGTTACATCGACGCGAACACCGACTTCCAAGATCCATTGATATAAGAATCAGTTCTTTCTTGACTTAAAAATTCCCACTTCAGAACTTCTCTTCTCCTAGAAATTAGAAAAGAAATATGAGCGACCAAACCCTAACCCTAACTAAACGCTACTCCTTTCAATTATGTCAGCTGCAAAAACCACAACACCAACACCGTACCCGCCAACCTAGTCATCCTCTGTTCTCCGTCACCTTCACTGTCAACTATGAAGTAGAGTATCTTCCTTTCTACTACCATATGAACCTAAAATCCGATAAGAAACCTCCTTTCAGTCTACCACGTTGTCTTCTTTTGGACCAAGATAAAGTAAAGAACACCATGTTTGCCCTCCTCTCCCAAGCCCTAATACCCGAACCTGAAATGGAATCTATTATAAAAATCGTTTCCGTCAAAGCAAAGTCCGTAGCCAGCGATCCTTGCAACGATGGCTTTGATGTTATACCCATTATCATGTCTCTTAGGGTTGTTTGGGTGCAAGAATATAATCTCGACGTGCAACTAGCATGGGAAAGACTGTTGCCTGGCGGCGCAGTAATATCCCTGAATCTGCCGGCGACGGAGAAGTCTGTTAGAGAGTTGGATAGGATGGTTTTTGAGGGAGAAGGTTGTTTTTGGCCGTGTAAGGCGGGGGAAGAGAAGGACTTCATGTGTGCGATTTGTTTGAAAGAATTTGAAGGTGGAGAAGAGATTAGGAGAATGCCGTGCTTGCATGTTTATCATGGAGATTGTATTGTTAGGTGGCTTAAGAATAGCCATTTGTGTCCGTCGTGCCGGTTTCCGATGCCTGTTTGTAAGGTAGTCGACGGAACGTTCTCTTTTCTACGACGGAAACACTGTGTACGGCCGGTGGCGGTGGGTGGTAAAATAAGAAAGGGGGCTCGCATGTCTGTTAGGCAGGTTTACTGATAATCATATGTTCAATTTTGATTTTGATTATGATTAATTCAAACGTAATGTTTAATTGAGATACTTCATTACAAGAACAACAATTAATCCTTAATAATCTCAAACTATTGGGTCTCTTATGAATCTTGTTGGTAGCTAAATCCGCACAATTCAGAAATTCTGGTCGGAGAGTAGAGTGGGTAGGAAAATTTTTAACAGAGGAGATGGTGAATTCTGATAATTGCTAGGTGAAATTTGGAAGGGAAGAAATGATAAACTAGCTAACAAATGTTATTCCTAATTTGGTTCTATTGTAAACAATTGTAAAGCTCTTCCAAATGGGATAACAAATGTTCAATTACAATGATGTTCTGCATGAATTTTGATTTAAGCAATATTTGATATTATCTTTTGTTAATATACAGGATTATATGTTAATCTACATTAAATTATTTTATAATCCTTTTGTTTTTTTTTTTTTTTTTTTTTTATAAGGAATCAACCGACTCTTTCCTCCTAGATAAATGCGACTATATCAATATGTTCAATGTCTACCTAATGCAACTGCGACGAACTGTTCTAGCATGGAATTGTGTGATTTTTAAGCAATATTGATTATTAAATCTTTTAGTAATATTACAGGGATTATATGTAAAATCTACATTAAATTATTTTTAATAAATCCTTGTTGTTTTTTTTTTTTTTTTTGGAAGGAAGAAAATGGCCACTATTTTATTTAAATGTAAGTGGGGAAAAGCGAGAACGATCAGGGACACTCGCCAAAATACATAAGTGGTTAAAAAGCGGAATCGCGTGATGCTCTAAGCAAGGATAATGAGCAGCACCATTCATAGTACGCAGGAATCCTTCTAATCTGGAATATCCGGCCTATCAAACTAAGAAGTTGCTTACAATATCTTTCACAATAAACCCCAAATTCCAAAAGATCATGTAAAGTTTAGAATTCGAAACACAAAATAAACCTGGCCAATCAAAAACAAAAATATAACCCACTAGACTGATAATGCATACCAAATAAAAAGTATATAGATGGGGGTGTAGAACAGAACGAAGAGCCAAAAAAAGAGCTGTCACTTTGAAATAGTGAAGCATCACAAAATGCATGCCAACCAACATTATTCAAGTTGACACATGGCCGCACCACCTGTTACATCTTCTCTTTGAAATATTATTCAAGTTGACACATGGTCGCACCACCTGTTACATCTTCTCTTTGAAATAGTGAAGCATCACAAAATGCATGCCAGCCAACATTATTCAAGTTGACACATGGCCTCACACTTGGCCCATTTCCATGGAAAAGTCTTTGTCCTATAGCTACATTTAAATTATCAAAAGAATGCCATTCCATACAATGGGTAGAAACCATACAGGCAATCTGGGTTGGTTGCACCAATTTTGCCGACCAGCAAAAAGTATTTCTTGCCTTCCATAAATGCCAAGCCAGAAAAGCCAATAGTTCGGCTTTTTATTGTCCAAGGCCATCCCAACACTGCATGAATAAATCAATAAAAGTTGCAGTCACACTGGGAATATTAAAACCAAGCAAACTCCAACAAGCATTTGCCCGAACACAATGACATAACACATGGTCACCATCTTCTCTTGAAGGACAGAAAAAACAAAGATCATTAACTGCTATACCACGTTTTACAAGGTTAGATTTTGTAGGGAGGACATCTCTACAAGCCCGCCACAAAAAATCCCCAAGCCCGCCACAAAAAAGTATCCTTTACTTTTTACGAGGGACATTAAGGCTCAAATACTTGTTCCATAACCGTGGGATTCCCAACATTCTGGCGTAACCTCGCTTACCCAACCCATACTAAACATGATAGTCCGAGATTTAACCGTATTACACCCACGCTTCCATAATTTGCCATAATAACCACATTCCCCACCATGAATGAATTAGGATAAAGGGGTATAAGAACAAAGAATAGCCTTCAACATCTCTTAGCAGAAGAAAATGAAGTTCATCAACTGCCACATTCCCACCTTTCTCACATCCACAAAAAACTAATAAACAAAACTCTAGTCCAGGATTAATGAATCGAGTCCCATCCTCCGCAAGAAAGCAGTCAGTACTTAGAGGGATCCAAGGATCCGAGCATCCGATAAATGACCCTACCATCAGCCCCAACACGCCAACGCACCCCTTGCTGAAGCCAGCTTTGATAGAAGCAAAAGATAACTCGACCACACAAGCCGGGATATGTTACGCCTTGTTGGAGCTTGAAAAGATTTCCCCCTCTCGGAAAATATTTAGGGCTTTGAAAATTACGTGTAAAAAAGAGTATTCTTTCGCCTGTAATAACCGCCATCCCTGCTTAGCAAGCGATAAGCCAAATTAAAATGCCGGAAGATCCACGAAACCCATACCACCTTGCTGCTTAGAAAAGATGACACCTTTCCCATGAAAGCTAGTTTTAATACCCTCTTGCCTTGTTCTTTCTTCCCGTTCCACCAGGTAGCGATTCATAATTAACCTGTAGCTCATGACACAAAGTAGAGCGGCAACAAGAAAACTGACATTACAATAAGCTGGTATAAGCCTGAGCAACAGAATTTAAATAAGACCTCTCTACCGGCTCTAGACAAAAATCTATTATCCAGCTATTCTATTCCAGCTATTCAATTTCTTCCACAACCTGTCTTTAATAAAAGAGAATATTTGCTTTTTATCACGTCCTATAAGAGAAGGAAGACCAAGATAAAAGCTATCCCCAATAGAACCCCTCACACCCAAGATATTAGAAATGTCATCTACAGTATGTTGCGAAACACAGGGACTAAATAAAGTACTAGATTTTTGAAAATTTACCGCCTGTCCCGATCCCGCCTCATAGTCCAAGAGAATTGATTTCACCATTGTAGCTTCATGAGCATTAGCTTCAAAGAAAAATATAGAGTCATCCGCAAACAACAAATGTGAAACTCGAGGACAACCGGGGAGGGACAAACCTCTACCCAACCCTTACATCCATGAATCAACCGCCGCTCCTCCCATTCTCGGAAATAAAGCAAATAAACCCTTCCAGCACAACAGTAAACAGTATGGAGAAATAGGCGTCCCCTTGACGGAGGACCGTCTAGCAGGCTAGATAACCTCAAACGTATAATCTCCGATTCCAAACACACAGAATAGCTGAACACTTGAGTAACACGTATGACTCAATCCACATGGAATCCAAGGCAGCAGGCGAAAATCCCAAACTCAATGCATCACATAACAGACGAAAGTAATCCCAACTTAAAGCTCATTGTGTCATAAAAGCTTTCCACTGGATCCAATGTTCAAAGCCAGAAATACACCCAGATCCCACCAACATCAGTCCGATTGCTTCAAATTGATGGTATAGTCTCAAAACGCCTACACAGAACGATGATCAAGTGATCAATATGTGGTTAGGCCACACAAAACCAGACTGGGATTCACAGAAATAATATGAAGGCAACACCTTCCTCAAGCCTATTCGCTAAGACAGTTTAGAGGACGAAGAATTATATATAACATTACATAAGGGTATAGTTGAAAGTCAATTTCACAGTTTCCAGGAACAGGAATTTTCGGAATAAGCACATATTTGTTAAATTGAGGGTCAGACAGAAGGAAAAAATACCTCGCTGCAACCAACCACAGCATTCCAAAAACAATAGCATCCCCCATAATATGCCAGTAACTTTTGAAGGAAGGCCGGGTTTAAGCCGTCAAGTCCAGGAGCCTTGTCAGGTTGCATTACTCGAATAAAGCCTCTCGAAATTCATGGCTCTTTCCGAGATGGGAGCAATAACACTAAACCTCGCATATTGTCTCCGCATCCAACTATAAGCAGTCACTCCAATTCTCTTGAAAAAAACCTCAAGAAAACTGACTTCTATCGGTTGCTTCATCTAGCCTGAAAAAGGCTCAGAAAAATAATCTTTTACCAACACCGTCCATCTTCTCCATTGATTAGACGCTAACAGAACCGATCCCACTTTTTTCTAAGCTTTTTAATTCTATTAATATTTTCCTCTTACCTTTTAATCTGCGTGTATTGAAAATATTGTGGAATTTTTGTCGCCATTAGTTTAAACCAGAAGGAGGTTTAGCCTGTTGCTTCTTCCAGAATTCTCTCTTTCCGTAAAGCAGGTGATTTTATTCCCATTCCCTCTTTAAGTCGCGCCTAGACCGACGACCCAACGCATACAAAATCCTCTATCTGAGTTACAAGTTGTCGCACAATCTAGCCATTCCTTGTCGTCTCCAAAAGCTCAAATCACAATCAGATTCCTGCGTTTCCAAAATTCCCGATTTCTAGCTCGACCCCACCGATTAACGTCAAAAATAAGAGCATCACGTCTGCTTATGAAGTTCAAATTAACTGACTCCTCCCAACCCCTCCGTACAACTAATTCCAACTCATCTTCAACTAACCATGAGTTATCCACCCTGAAAGGCCGAACAGAATTATGATACTCATTTGGCTGCAAATCAATCACCACTGCGATATGATCAGATACTGGAGTAATTTGTGTAGTCGCAATAGCATTCGGAAACAAAGTTGCCTAACGATCATTAGACATAGCCCTATCCAATTTATCACCATTAGGATTAGTACCTTCAAAAGTGTAAAAATAACCAGCTGATTCCAAATCAATTAAACCAGCATCATCAAGAGCCGATTTAAAACCATTCAAGAGAAAATTTGGTTTAGGTGGACCTCCCTGTTTTTCCAAGTCAGCAGGTTTAGGTGGACCTCCCTGTTTTTCCAAGTCAGCAACAATGTCATTAAAATCCCCTGTACAAAGCCAAGGTAAGGAACTATTGTTTGCCAGTGTTCGAATAAGATTCCAGGATGAACGACGACGATGCGCCTCTGGATACCCATAAAAGCCAGTAAAACGCCAACATAAATTGTCTTCCTTAATGCAGCAGTCAATAAAATTAGTGGAATATGAAGTTATCGTAAGAGCAACAGAAGATTTCCAAAGAACACATAAACCACCCCCCATACCAATCCGGTCAACACAAAAACAAATTATCAAAACCAATTAAAAGCTTCACCTCCTCCATTCTCTGTGCATGCATCCTTGTTTTAATTAAAAATAAAACATGTGGTCGGTAACTTAAAGATAAATCTTTAAGAGCATTAACTGTCCGAGGGTTACCAATTCCTCGGCAGTTCCAGCTGATGAGAATCATTGTTGTTGGCTGCCCTGCGGTTTTGCGAGATCAGCCGCTAATTTTGTTTGACGTTGAAGAATGAACTCCAGCGTTAGAACCTCCTGCAGAATCCTTAAGGTGAGAAACGGCAGCAGGGGTAGTCGTATTAGGGAAAAAATCATTTGTGGTCAATATACCACTCCTGGGCCTCTTCTTTAATTCTTCAGCCAGGCCCACAACCACATCTTCACCGAAATCAGTCTCCATCATACCCACACCAGTAGCCTCCCTAGCTGTTCCCAAGTCAACACCAAATAAAGATTGACGAAATTGACGTGATGTCAGAATATCTTCCTTATCAATGCCCATGCCATGCATTTATTGCTTCCCGAAGATCCCGCCTCAAATCTCAGCCCTCTTTCTTCACGCAACCATGGACTGCCGGAAACCAACACACGCCGGTCGGAGACGCGAAGACTGTCATCCCAATCAAACCGAATATCTTCTAGTTTAGTAAACAAATGTTTCTCACAAAAAGCATCGATGTGGCCAATGATTCCACAAAGGTAACAGTATATGTGGACACGAAAGTAACTAAAATAGACATAGAAGGCTTCCCCTTTGGCATCCACGAGCTTCTTCTTCCTTTTTAATGGAGTGCGAATATCAAATCTGGTTCTAATCCGCATAACTGATTCAGTGCTTTGTGCTCTGAACTTCAAGTCATAAGAAATAAACTCACCAATGAAATTGCCGAGAGATCTAGCTACCTCCTCTCTGTAAAAACCTGGCTTTAGTCCCTTAACATGCACCCAAACATTGATATGGAGCAGTGGAACGTGTAAAGAACGTGTAAAGGATCCTGTTGTTCCTCAATTTTATGCCAAACTAGCAAGTGTTTGTTAAACGACCACGGCGCCCCTTCCACAACTCTGTTGAAATCCACACTGTTGTAGAACCGAAATAAAAATCGCTTGGCACCCAACTCAGATATAGAGACCCCTCCTAACGGATGCCAGGTATAGGTATTTGCAAGAACCATTTTCATAGCATTGAAGTTTATGGAGTTATAGGTTAAAAACGTTCCCACCAAACACCACTCATAAGTCTGTTGTGGTTCATCAAGGTTGATATTGAAAGCTAAAATCTCCTCCTCCTCTTCTGCAAGGGATGTCTGTAGATCAGTAGTAGCCATCGTGACAAAGCCGGAATAATCACCGGAGAAATTCAGATATGGAAAAGAGACATGCTAACAAGAGCATACAAAAGTCGGTGGTTCACTTACATGCACTTTGATTGAGCCATCGTGACAAAGCCGGAATAATCACCGGAGAAATTCAGATATGGAAAAGAGACATGCTAACAAGAGCATACAAAAGTCGGTGGTTCACTTACATGCACTTTGATTGCTAGAATTGAAGTTTTATAATCCTTTTGTTTTGACTTTATTTATATATAAAAGAAATACAGCTTTTGACATACTAGTGAAGGAGTAGGCAAGAAAGTAAGGTTTGGTTATGCAATTCATAAGGATCCAAAGCGAGTTGTGGACAGTTTTGCTATTGTTTGATGGTCATAATTGGCAAACTACAATTTGATAGCAACTTTGTAATATTGCTGAAAAACAAGGGCATTACAAAAAGGGGATTTATGAATTTTCATTTTCCTACAGCCTACAGGAACATTATGCAGTTGGGATCCTAAAAGCAATATTTCTAAAGGATTACAGAACTATTTTTCTTACTGTTTCTGGGGGTTTTTCCTATCATTAAAGAACAAGTTACTCGACTTTTTACATGGAAATTGTTAGTGTTCAGATGCAGGAAAATGTTCCTTCTAATTAATGAGTAGCCTTTCTTTACTGGAATGATTTTGAATTCTATTTCTGTCTTAGTGTTGAATAGAAATAATATACAAATAAAACAAATCGAAGCAAGGCTAAAAAATACAGACTGAAATTTTTTGACGTCAGAACAAACCGAACCAATCGGTTCGCCCGATTTTGATCGTATTTACCATGTCAGTTGGATTTTAAATCCAATGGATGAAATATCTATAAAATCGATTCAAATTGAATAAAAAATTCAGTTCAAATTGAATCTTTTTTGAATAGCTTATCAAATCAAATTGAAATGAATCTTTTGATTATTGATTCGATTGGTCCTTGGTTTTGCACACCCTTACAATTTACTATGATCATGATTAATAACGAAAAAAGAAAATCATCTATTGGACTAACTCAAGAAAAAATTCAACTTCAAAATTTGGCTAGTCCAACTTCTATTCATAACATAAATGAATACAATCAATCAAATCAAAGTCTCCTTTGTTATAATGTAGCAACAAACAAGATCTGTGTGCCGTGGAGTCAGGGACTGTGTTAATGCCATGGCAAGAAAGAGGAGTGTCGGTGGACAGAGACAGCAACTTGAGTGTACCATAAACAAATGGAAAAAGTAAAGGACGTACTTGAAGGAAGCTGATGGGACAAGGACCCAAATCAAGGGAATCTCAGAACAGTAACTCTGAAGCAAAGATCTGATTAATATCATTACTTCCATATGATACGTGTATATGGACCCATATATTTTCCATGTCAACAAATAAATTAATAGAAGAAAAACAAATTTGTAAGCATAATAACTCCTGTTCTTTTTAGGTTAATTTTGCTTTTGTGCAGATTTATACTATATTCTGTATATACATAAAAACTTATCTGATGAAAAGAAAATTATAATCTTGCAACCCTGAAACAGTCAGGTATAATAATTATAATTTGCAAGTGAAAAGACAATTCACGTAATGAAGCATTTATACTAATAAAAACTTCTATTATTAGCCTTTTGAAGGCAACTCTGGAGTAATGATTACTTGGGCTCACCACTCTCTTAATCAGAGAATGCTCCAAATACAAGAAAGATTATGTTTAACTATTACAACAGATTGATCACTTCAACTCTTGATTCATTTCACCACCGACACTTTGGTTATATATATATATATATCAAGAAAAAGAAATAAAGAAAAGAAACTATTCCAAGAAGTTGGAGAATTTTGATAATGACTGCTAAGGGAAGGAGGAGGGCACACCACAAACGACCTCTCATCCAACACCTATCTGTAAACCCAATATGCAAGGGAAACAAAAGAAGACACAGAGTTTGATAGGAAAAAAAAACACAAAAGAATATACAAAAAGGAATCACAAGAGAGTGATTGATATGTATTGCTAACATTTTCTCTATCCAGAAATGTGTGGTTGGTTAGTCGAAGCTTGATGATCGGCTGCACCTGCCTTGCAAATAGTCCTCTAATGAAACTGTTTGCTCATTGCTGCTCAAGGAGAGTGAATCATCCTCCACATCAAGCAATGCAAGGTTAAGATGTGACCGTAGATTCGAACGTGGACACACATCATCATCCAGCATCTCAGGTTCTTCTGCAGTGTTCACTTGTAGCCTTGCCCATTTCATCACTTCAGTATCACCTTGAAGGAGCTTCAACACCTTTGAACAAAATGAACAGAAAGAAAATTAAGGATTTGTTTTTATTCTCAAGAAAGGGGAAAAGAAAAAGACAAGTAAATAAAAAACTTCAGGTTTAACAAATAGGGGTTAATACAGTTATTTTTTAGCAGAGCATATCAGAAACTGTCACTTTATTGCAATAAGATGGTTTCTAGTTTTTAATAACCAATCCTTGTGCCAAGCATTATATTGAAAATTTTTATTAGAGATCCTTGGAATTTATGTTTAAGGTGAACTTCACATATTTATAAAGGTTTCAGGACAATTAAAATAATACTCCCCAATTGCCTTTTCTAACAGAACATAAAATGATGTTTCATAGAAAAACATTTTCAACTTCAGTGTGAACAGACTCTAAGATGACTGTTGAGAAATAGAGAGATGACTTACAAGGCTTATTTGAGGCCTAGCACGTGGAGAGCGTTTTACACAGAGAGTGGCAGCTAACACCATCCTTTCCATCTGATCATGATCATAGTCATCACCCAAGCTTGGGTCTAGTAATTGGGAAAACTTTTCATCATTTAGAATTGGCTTTGCCTGGACAAGTAAATTTAATTATGTTATCAAATATGTAAATTCAGTACTGACAGATCTGAATTGCACAGTTACAGAGGACATACCCACAGAACTAAACTTTCTTGGCCTTTTGGGTGATTATTGCTTATGGGTTTTCTCCCAGAAAGAAGCTCAAGGAGTACAACACCAAATGCATAAACATCGATCTTGTTGTTTACTTTTCCATACATAAAGTATTCAGGAGCCAAGTAACTGCAGCAATCAATTTCATGTTAGAAGAATTTGTCTTTCTCAAGATGATTTGCAGTAAATTTCAAGAAACAATCATCCATGGATCTGTTTCTTTTTTTCTTTTTACAGTTTAAGAATAGCAACAAGAAAACAAAAAGATAATTGCTATGACAATAAAAATTAGTACATACCCAAAGGTTCCAACAACATCAGTACTGATTATATGAGATGATGAAGTTGATGCCCATTTAGCAAGTCCAAAATCAGAAAGCTGAAAGACCATAAAACCCAAGCTTCAGTGCCTAATAATTCAAAAGAGTAAAACTACTGCTACTACTACAAGTTTAATAATGAAAATATTCATTTGACTCCTAAAAATTAATTTTTATGAAAATGCATTACCTGTGGCTCGAAATCATCAGACAATAATATGTTTGATGATTTAACATCCCTGTGGATCACAGGTTGAGCAGTACCATTATGAAGATAATCCAAGGCCTCTGCTACTCCTACAGCAACCCTGTATCTCTCACTCCAACCAAATGCAAGAGGGTCCTTTCTGTTACCTGAATTATAAATAAATAAATAAATAAATGTTAGAGATCGAGAAAGTCTAATCTAGTGCAAAATCTAAACAAAGAAAATTTGTTAATTAATTTACCATGGAGGTTCTCTTCAAGGCTTCCTCTTGATAGGAAATCATAAACCAAGAGAAGGTTGTTGTCTTCGAAACAGAACCCCAAAAGAGAAATAATATTCTTGTGATTTAAAGTAGTAATGATCTCAATTTCTAAAACAAACTCCTTCAATACATCTTCAGATTGTTTCAAGATTTTGACAGCAAGTTCTTTCCCATCAGGAAGGCAACCTTTATAGACTTGGCTGCTGCCTCCTTTCCCAACCAAATTTTCTAAAATATTCAAAAAGGACAAAATCAATTAAATCAAAAGCAAAAATGAAACTAGAGTGAATTACTTGGAAATTAAAAATTGAGAAAAGAGAACAAACCAGCCAAGAAATTAGATGTGGCTGACAGAAGTTCCTGGTACTTGAACAATCTACAAGTTGCTGAGTATTTCTCATGAAAACCCTCCAATTCCTTTGGCAATACTTTTGAATTTTGATCAGGAGAAGGTGGAATTGTCATACTCTCAGCATCAACAGGAACAATTGCACCACTTTCTCCATCTAAACTGCATTGATCTTCATTCTTGTCAGAACCATTCTGTCTGTGATCCAAATTGGGAATAGACGAAGAAAATTGCCTACTAGGCAACCTCATTGCCCACTGAACCACTGAGATCTGCCTTACCGAGGATCTCTCCGATGCCCCCGCTTGGTTGGGCAAGATTGGCCGGCGAAGTAATGGCCAACCAGGTTTCAATTCAGGCACTTGTGTAATTAATGAGGAAACTGAACTAGAAGGTTCCTTTAATTTTGATACTGGCACTAAAGCCAAAGACTTACAATCATCACTAGAAGACTTTTTTGCAGTTTGGTTACATGAATTATCAGTAGAATTATCAATTGCTCCACAAACTGAGCAATTTTTCTTCATTATACTCCCCAAACTATTTGGCCGAGCTTTAGCCAAGGCCTGCTGCAAAAATGGGTCATTGCCCTCCTCGAAGTTTAAGGCCCCATTAGTAATACTTTCATTTAGTACTTTAGAACTTTTACTCGATGAAATTGACCTATGAATTACATTAAAAATACTGTTCCGGTGATGATTATCATCAGTTCCTGCAGAATTACATGCAGTTTAAAATTAATTAATTAAGTGTACAGCAAAAGAGAAATTCCATATTGAAAAATTCAAATTGTTATGAGAACAGAACAAACCATTTGAATCTCCAATTTTGGCAAGAGAGCCTGCTCTTTGAAACACAATTTTCCCATTGTCTACAGCAACAACCGAACAATCTTTTGATAGCTTTCTGGCACAGTACTTAGCTACAGATGTCGGCGACCGGATTGTATGGTGGCTTTTGGCTGCCCCAACAATAATTTTTTTTGCTGAATAAGAATTTGCTTCTCTAACTAAAATTTTTCTAATGGATGAACCTCTGCATATTTTGAGCTTGAGATCCACCTGCAATATAAACATCCAACTAGCTAAAAAATGACGGTACAAAAAAAAAAAATCCATCTTCTCACCAACCAAACAGACCATCATTTAATTTTAAATTTTCTTTGTATTTTAAATATTAATTTAAAGAAAAAAAAAGGAAAACCAACCTGTTTCAAGTTGCAGAAACCTTCATATACGGCAAGAACAGAGTCAAAAGCTTTGACAAGAGACAAAAAAGAAGACTTGCCTTCTCGATCTACAATTTCTACAAATACCCATTCCACCAAATCATCAAAGCTATCCAAATAACCAACAAAAATTCACCTATCTAATAAAATCATCACTTCCGAATCCGTTGTTCACTTACCATTATTACCGAGAACATGGAGAGCAATAACAGTATCACCGGGTTGGGCCACTTTGACCATAGCCCAAGTCAACAGTTCTCTACTTTGTGAGTCAAGCTTGACTCCCACCATCACTGCCTGGCCACCTGAGGGCGCCATTTCTTCTCCTATATGCTGTAGCATTTTCATTTCCTATATGCTTCAAAAGATTTCTAATGAGAAATATTATAACGCCGTTTTGTACTTATTTTGTCGTCGTTTGCTGGTCTGAGATTGAAGATCATGTTGTGCTGTTCATATAGTATTTAAGGTTCAGAGAGAACAGAGGCAAAGCTGGTGAGGTGTGCGTGTGTGTTTTGGCTTAACCGCCAGTTTGGTTGTTTGCTTTTCAAGGTCGCAAAACCAGACTAGAAAAGGAAAGGGAGGGAGAAAGGGAGGATGTTAGAGTGCAGCCGTTTGTATTTTGATTTGGAAGCAACTTAATTTTAAAAATAAAAAAGACAAAAATAATTAGTCAATTATGGAATTTAGAGCTTTGAAATTTAGGAAAACCTCATCCGGTTCTCTAAATTCCAATCTCAGTCTCACCTAATCTTATATATATAATACATATTTTAAAACAATATTCTAATAATTTTTACATATGAATAGTTTAGTGAAAAAAAAGCTTTTGTGAGGTGAATCACCATAGTTTAGGTAATGGGTCTCCCGGATCAATCTCTTTACTTTTAAAGAAAAATAGAAATTAGTCAGATTTATGGACTATTAAAATACATACAGGCGGCCTAAATATCTAGTATAAGTATAAAAAGTATATATAATAATTTTATTTTTATTTTAAGAAGAAAAACTTTTTTCTTTTTTCTTTCTTATTTATTAAAAGATCAAATGGAACAATATAGCGTTAACATGTTTGTAGCTATATAGTAAGAGGTGAAATCATAAACTATTATTTTTATTATGATATAATCTGAAAGAAATTTGTTAATTCATTAAAATAAAAAATATATATTTATTTTGAACAAGTTGGAAATGGATCAAGAAAATTGATGGTGATGAAATTAGGGTATAGGGTCCACAAGCAAAGGGACATGGGACCTTAATTATAATAAACTAGTATCTGAGATATTATTGGATGAAAATTTGAGGTCATTAAATAGGTATGGAATACAATATTTAATTAAAAATATGATTTATACGATATTCTCTTTTCATTTTTCAAATTGAAAATTCAGCCATGGTGTGCAAAACATAATTTGGCTTTTTGTTTGATGTGCAATATTTTATATAACATGATTTCCATCATCAACAATTATATATATATATGTGTATATATATATATAAGGACATGGGACCTTAACTTATTAACTAAACTAGTATCTGAGATATTATTGGATGAAAATTTGAAGTGTCATTAACATAAGTATGGAAATACAATATTTAATTAAAAATAGATATTATCGATATTACTACATTTATTCATTTAATCAAAGTGAAAAATTCGCCAATGGTGTGAAAACATAATTTTGGCTTTTTTGTTTGATAAGTGCATATTTATCATAACATCAGACTTTCACATTCATAACAATATAATAATATATATATGTGATAATTATATAACTATAATATATATATATATCTTATTTATTTTTATTAAAATTTAATATATTTAAAATTATACATATTTGAAATTTCACACCTAATTAAGAAAATCATTAATTTACTAAGTTATAATACAATTATTAAAATAAAATTAACTAATTACCCTTAATTAATTACTAAATTCTCTAAGAAAACCGATTAAATTTTGAAATAATAATTATTGGTTTATATTAAATTATTAAATAAATTAACTATATTACCCTTAATTTAATACTAATTCTCTAAGAAAACCATTAAATTGAAATAATAATTATTGGTTATATATAAAGAATACGTAAATATGGAAAAAAATATTTATTACTCTTTTAAACTATAAATATAACAAGTAATTTGGAACAAACTATTTTACTAGGTGTGATAAGTATTGTAGAACAGAGATAGTAATTAATTTCGATTAGTTAATTTTAGTTGATTTGTCTTCAACATCAAGCTTTACCACAATGGAAGTTAAACAGCTTCATTCAACCAATATAAAAATTGTCAATTCATTTACTAAAATATCATGTTACTTCATCCAAACTTCACCTCCTTCATTCACTAATCATATAAATTATGCATTATTCTTAAATATTACTCTCTCCATTTTATATATATATATATATATCTAATTTGACTTTTACATAAATTAAGGAAAGCTTAGTTAATATAGTTAAACTATATTTTTCATTTTTTTTAAATACTCCTCAACTAATATTAAATGATGTATATACAATTAGAAATATAGATATACATTAAATAAAAGTATATTAAGAAATTAAGCGATAAAATTATGTTTTAAAAGAAAATAGGACTACTTTAGGATAAAACGGAAAAAAAGGCAAATGTATATATATGAGACGGAAAAAGTATATAATTGAAAATTTTATAGAAACCATTAGTAACTTCATTAATTAAATGACAAGTTATTTATTATGCATTTTAACTCAACCTCTGTTAAATAGCAATTTCAATATTTTGTTTTAACCGTTAATGAAAATTTATGATTCAGTTCTTCAAATTCAGACTTAACTTATCATTTCAATTACTCACTTATAGATAAATTATTAAATATTTATCATTCACAATATATTAATAATAAGCTCCAATAAGTCATCAGCCACTTGATCAATTTCTTTTTTTTTTTTCACAATTAATTAACAAAATTTAAGCATGCTTATGGCCTTTGGTTTTAATGAAACCGACTTACTAATTAATAGAGGCTCGTGACGGCCTGTAAAGTCACTCTACTTGGCCACGCTCCTATCGGCTAACTTACATAAATAATATCGAAACTGCTATCACGTACTTTCTAATTAAACACCATACACGTGTATATATTTACTGATGTCGTCCCCACGTTAACGGCCGCCAACACACGTGCTCCACAAGTTAGCCGCCACATGCCCGCTTCGTTAACATGATCGAAGCAATACGCTTCCGCCTCTACCGTTGCCGTGTTAGGTATCTAAATCTATGAATGGGGTCGTTAATAATGGGAGGTAGAGCTAAAAGTGGGAATTTGATGTGTGAAATACAATTTTTTGAAATTTGAGGAGTGGAATAGATAATTTTTTTTGAATTTTAACATTCACATCCTTCTAAGAAAGATAATCCACTATCTATTTTGACACAATTAAGAAAATAACAATTATTATAGTTACTGTCAAAAAAAAAAACAATTATTATAGTTAAATGGTAATTGTATGCATATAACTTTTCTATTATGTCATCTTAAATAACACATGAGTAATTATTATATTGAAATAATATGTAAAAATTAATGAAGGTTATTTAAAATAAGATAAAATTTAATAAAAGTATAATAAACAATTTAAGGATTAACTATAATATAAAAAAGAAAGTAGACAATATTTTAAGACAAATCAAAAAGAAAAGATAAACTATCTTTTTGGGAAGGAAAGGATAATAATTTTTTAAAATTTAATTTTGGAATAGTTTTGTTCCGGTAATATTTTAAATAAATTAAGAGAGATAACATAGAGCCATTTTTGTTTTTTTATTTTTATTGGGAGGTCTAATGAACAAAATAATACTGTGAACTACACGATAAAGTATAACTCTCTTATTTACTCGTTAAATTAATGAAAACTATTATGGTCGAGAGATTTCAAATTAAAATCTCTCGCTTTTTATATGAATGAAATCACCAATAAGACCATACATGTTTGGCTTTAGTGCCACTTTCATAAATTTCAATGCCTTCTATGTTCTTTTGTTTAGGAGGTATAAATGAACCGAGCCGAGCTCGAATGTTAGGCTCAAAGCACAACGTACTAGAATTTAGCTCGGCTTTATGCTTGAATCAGTTTAAAATAAAGATTATATATATATATATATATAAGCTCAATAAAACCCAACGAACTTTTGAGTTGAATATCATTAGACTTAAATTTGATGCGAGCTGAATTTTTCAAATTTTTTTGAAATCGAGCTCCAACGGCTCACTAGTCGGCTGATTTACATACTGTTCCTGTCATATGCTTCGCTAAAATATCCTCTTAACCCGTTAAAAGCCATGGAAGCTTTGTGACCATTTATCGTCGTTGGCCTACTCATCTTTAAAGGAAATAAAGCTTTTTAAGATTTTTCGACAGAATACATAAGCAAGAGCAAAATTTCTCAATCATAAAATTAAAATTTTTTTCATTATTTTTTAATCCTTTTTTTTTAAATAATCTTATTACATTTTAGTCCTAAAATTTTAAATCAAGTGCATTTCCATTAATAAAATTCTAAAATGTAATTATTCTTAATTTAGTTATTGAAGATTATAAAATTCTTCAATTTTTAAAATTTTAATTATTAGTTTTGGAAATTTTAAGTAGATTTTTAAATAAAAAGACAATATACTACCAAATAAAAAGAAAAAGTGAAAAAGGTTGGTGAGGTGTCAATGGCAGGGTGTTTGGACCATATATAAAATAGAAACTATGAAAGGAACATGAACCCAGAAATAGACCATTCAAAGTGCACTAAGTAGATGGATGGGTTACTATATATCACTTTTTTAGGAAAATTAGGAATAGCATGTGATGGATGGTCCCAAACCTACAGTCAAGGATGGACTACCACCACACCCTATTTCATTTTTGTCAAAAATCACTTAAATTAAGAAATTTCATTTTTACATTTTAATTGTTTCGATTAGATTTAATTTTTATATTAAAAAATGAAATCAATTTGAAAGATTGATTATTTTTTATTTTAGTAAAAAATAATCTTTAGTTGAATTACAAAAATGAAAAAAAAATATCAAATTCGAACTAAATTAATAAATTTAATTTGGTTTCTTAACAAAGTTTTTTCATCAAAAATTTTATTTATAGTGCGGTTTAATTGGAGTCTTCATTTATTTATAGTAATAAGCCATAACTAATTATTACCAATATTAATTTTCTCCGATGTCACCACCATTACTACTTGTAGACTGTCGGTGGTGGAATGAAGTGGAGTGCTTTCAGTTACGGTGTTTCACGTGCCAAAAAGTGCTAAAATCCTACTTACTCCTACGTACAGACAAAAAAAAAAAAAAAAAAAAAAACTTAACTCCTACTCGTACAGACAAAAAAAAAAAAAAAAAAAAAAAAAGATTAAACTTCGAGTAGTAATAAAAAAAAAATCCCAAAAAAAAAAAAAAAAAAAAAAAAGATTATTCGAGTAGTAATAAAAAAAAAATACCCTTTTCCTTAACCACAAATTTCGAATTCCAGTCTTAATATGTAACATCTTTCAAATTTAATAAAATCTATT